TTTGGTCTCTCTCTCATCTTTTCTTGATGAATCTGGAGGTTTATCAATTTTGTTTGTCTTTTCAGAGAACCAGCTTTTAGTTTCATAATTCTTTTTTCTTCCCCCTCCCCTCCCCTTCCTTTCTTCCCTTTCTTCCTTCCCTTCCTCCCTCCCTAGATCATTTATTTCTATTCTGATCTTTATTATTTCCCTCCTTCTACTAACTTTGGGCTTTTTTGTTGTTCTTTTCCTAGTTTCTTTAGGTGTAAAGTTAGATTATTTATTTGAGATTTTTCTTGTTTCTTGCTTATTGCTATAAACTTTTCTCTTAAAACTGCTTTTACTGTGTCTCATAGATTTTGGAAAGTCTTGTTTCAATTTTCATTTGTCTTAAGGTATTTTTTGATTTTTCTCTTTTTTTGTTGACCAGTTGGTTGCTTAGTAGCATAATATTTAGTCTCCATGTGTTGTGGGGTTTTTTTCAGTTTTACTTTTGTAATTTCTAGCTTCATACTGTTGTGCTTGGAAAAGATGTTTTATATGATTTAAGTCTTCTTAAATTTATTGAGACTTGTTTTGTGGCCTAATGTGATCCTATTGTGATCCTGGAGAGTGTTTAATGTGTACTTGAAAAGAATGTGTATTCTGCAGTTTAGAGATTAAATGTTCTGTGTATATCTAATAAGTCTATCTGGTTTGATCTGTCATTTAAGGACAGTGTTTCCTTATTGACTTTTTTGTCTTGCTAATCTGTCCATTAATGTAAGTGGGGTATTAAAGTCTCCCATTATTACTGTATTATTGTCAATTTCCATCTTTATGTCTGTTAATATTTGCTTTATGTATTTAGGTACTCCTCTGTTAGGAATGTAAATATTTGCAAATGTTCTATCCTCTTCTTGGATTGACCCTTTTATCATTATGTAATAATGCCTTTGTCTTCTGTTGCAGGCTTCGTTTTAAAAGTTTTGTCTGATGAGTATTGCTACTCTAGCTTTTTGTTTCCATTTGCATGGAATATCTTTTTCCATCTCTTCACTTTCAGTCTGCATGTGTCTTTAGATCTGAAGTGAGTCTCTTGTAGACAGCATATAGACAAATCTTGTTTTTTTATCCATTCAGCCATCCTGTGTGTTTTGATTGGAGCATTAAGGCCAATTAAAGTAACTGCAAATAATTATTGATACATACTTACTACCATTTTGTACATTGTTTTCTGGTTGTTTAATTTTGTTTTTAATATTTTAATGTCTTAGTCATTTAGTTCTTTGTATTTCTATTAAGATTGTAGAATATTTTATACTTTTGTTATGATGAATGGGAACTTTTTCACACGTATTTTTAAATTAGGTAGCAATCTGAACAGAATGAATTAACACTAATATAAGTGCTTTTTGACTCACTTGAGCATATTATGTACCTTAGGTTTTTATTAGCTACCATTTATTTAGTCTTGTGGCTTTATGTTAAAGTTAGAAATACTAATATATTTGCTGTTACTGACAAGACCAACATTGTTCTAGAGACACCAGACAAAACAATAAAACATGAGAAATAAATAAGGTATAAATACTGGAAAAAGAAAAAAATTAAACATTTTAAACAGTTAATATATTTGTCTATCTCGAAAATCCAAGACAAGTAACCAAAACCATACTGAACTAATGAGAAAGTTCTATAAAGCAGCAAGAAAGAATATTACTAAAATCCAGTAGCTTTCTATTAACAGTCATACTTAATTCTCTTCCATACTGTTGCCAGTACCCAAGTCTAAGCCTCACCATCTTTTAATCTTCTAATAGGACTCCTTGTTTTCATCATTTGGCTCAACAATTCTTTCTCTACCCAGCAGGTAGAGGCATACTTCAAGTATATTTTGACTCCTACACTTAAAACCATTCCGTTGTCTCTCAACATTTAGATTTCTTCTTTAATCTCCCTAATGTCCTGTTCTTTTTCTTAGCCCCATCATAGTTTGCCAGTATACAATTTCATGTGTGTTTATTTAATGTCTGCCTCCAGAATATATGTTCTATGAGGTCAGGGAAAACGACTGTTTTGTCACTACCATATATACTATACTTAGTACTTAGTGTAGGCACTTAGTAAATATTTGCTGAATTTATAGATTGATCAAATCTACTTTTTAAAAAATACACTTTTTAGGACCGTTTTTAGAAGACAGTACAGAGTTCCCACATACCCCACACCTAGTTTTCCCTATTATTAATATCTTAGGTTAGCATGAAATATTTCTTAGAACTTATGAGTCAGTATTGGTTAATTAAAGTCCATATTTTATTCAGATTTTCTAAGTTTTTAAAAACTAATATTTTTCTATTCCAGGATCTCACCTAGGATCCCACATTACATTTAGTTGTCATGCCTCTTTAAGCTCCTCTTGGCTATGACTGTTTCTCCGATTTGCCTTGTTTTCAATGACTCTGATGATTTTGAGGAGTATTGACCAAGTGTTTTGTAGAAAGCTTTTCTGTTAGAATTTGTCTTGTGTTTTCCTTTTGGTTAGAATGGAGTTATGAAATTTTAGGAGGAAGACCACAGAGGTAAAGTGCTGTTTTCATCACATAATATTAAGGTCACATATATGAACGTGGTATTATTGTTGATGTTGACCTTAATCATCTGGCTTGAGGTAGTATTCAGTCAGGCTTCTCCACTGTGAAGTTATTCCTTTTTCCCCCTTCCCATGGTGTATTCTTCGAAAGGAAGTCACTGCACATTCTGTATTTAAGGACTGGGGAGTTGTATTCTTCCTCCTTGAGGGCAGAGTATATCTACATAAATTATTTGGGATTCTGCATGGGAGATTTCTCTCTTTTCCCCTACTTATTCATTCACTTACGTATATCAGTATGGACTCCAGGATATGTATTTCCCACTTTGGGCTATAATACAATTACTTCTTTATTAATTTTCTTTCTCAAATTGTTGCAGTTTTGGCCATTAGGAGCTCTTTCATTTAGCTCCTGTGTCTCTTTGACCTAGCCCATCAATGTGGGCTGCTTTTGCTTATTGGCTTTTGCTTTTGGTTTTTTTTTTTACATACTTTGTTACTTTCTAGCACTCTTAAGATCTCCAGTATCAGCTTGTGTATTTCATGCTCAGTACTAGAATCAGCCCTCTCTCCAGAAAGCCCTGGTTTCTTTTACTGGACAATGGTATTAGAAATCAAGATCTGGATGCTAGATATGCTTATTGCTACTGGGGTGAGCAGCTTTATTCATAATTGCCCAGACTTGAAAACAAGATATTCTTCAGTAGGTGAATGGATAAATAAACTGTGTTGCATGTATACAATGAAATGTTAGTTAGCAATAAACAGACATGAGCTATTGCACTAAGAAAAGACATGGAAGAAACTTAAAATGCATCTTGGTAAGTGAAAGAAGCTGGTGTGTGATTCCAGCTACATAACATTCTGGAACCTGAGCACGGTGGTGATGATGAAAAGATTGGTGGTTGCCAGAGGTTTGGGGGGTGGGAGAGAAGGATAAATGGGTAGAATACAAGATGTTTAGGGCAATGAAACTAATCTCTAGGATACTGTAATGGTGGATACATGCCCTTATGTATTTTGTTAAAACCCACAGAATAAACAACACAAAGCATGAACCCTAATGTGTAAACTATGGACTAAAGTTGTATTGATACTGGCTCATCAGTTACAGCAAGTATCCTACTCTAGTGCAAGATGTTAATGGGAAAATTGGGGAAGGGGTCTGAAGGGGGGTATATGGAAACTCTGTACTTTTCCAGTGAATTTTCCCATAAACCTAAAACTGCTAGAAAAACAAAAGTCTATAATGAAAACGACAAATAGCCCTCAGAGTATAAGTATAAAGTTTAAAAGTATAAAGAAAACACACCAATTAACCATATTTATTTTAATATCTGTTGAGAAGTATAAAAGCTTCCTAGCAACATAAAATAATTTTTTAGCTTTAAGACATTAATGAAAACTGTACAAATATATATAACCATTACCATCAACATAAATAACTTCAGATTTTAAAATTTTTCAACAAGGTGAGCTGAATTTTCTATACAAAAATACCATATTACTATCTTATGATGTCTTTGGATAATGTCCACAAGATACAAGATGTCCACCAATTACATTAGCATTTGTTACAAAGTCAGAAAATACATAAAAATAGCAGTTGATAACATTATTATTCTTTAAAAAGAATATATGGTACTAATGTCCAGTCCATAAAATGGCAGGTTTAAATAGAGTAGTCCCAAGTTCAAAATGTCAAAATATTTTAAGTACCAGTTTAGAAATTAAAACAAATTGTACTAAGTGAAATCACTGCTATAGCAACTGAATGCATTTGCTCTTCAGAGTAAATGTCAAGGTCAGAGCCAGGTCAGTGATCTGCAGCAGCAAGAGTTTGCTTTGGGGGACAAGCTGGCACACCTCATTTTTGTGTCTAGTAGGAACATGGAAGCAAAGTATTCTGGAAGTCTGATGAACACATGTCACAGTTTCAAGATCTTTCTTAATGATGTGAAGATGAGAGAACCTTGACTTGGTTGATGTAGGAGTCTTCAGGCCATTGGGTTTGACAGTCACCATGAATTCACGGGAGTTATGTTGGTCAAAATCAAACAACAGACTCTCCACTAAAATTGGGTGACATAATATTGAGATCTTTATGTTAAAGATAAATTTATTCCTAAGAAAGATATCCTGCTTAAGATGGAATTACCGTCGCTTCCATAATTTCAAAGTAGAAAAGCATGACACATGAGCATCTTTTGCCATTGCCAAACTGGTAGGGTAGAGCCTTAGCCAAATAAGAACCGTAACTGACAGCCCACAGAAGTCTACCTAATTGCTATAAAAAACAAACCTTTGAGGCCAACTGATGAAATGTTAAATTAATTTTGCAAATAACAGATGAAAACTAAAACACTCTTAAAACACTTTCTGAAGGCCTTTTTAAAAAAAGATTCTTATCATACTTAGTAACTTAATTTGTAGATCAAATACTTGATACTTTGGCAAATAGTTTATTCAATACTTTGTAAAGTCCTACCCATATATCAGCACTGTGGGCAATTGATGCTAAGAAAATGCATTTCATTTCTAGAAAAGAAAATAGGGGATGGTTTTTGCTCTTCAGAGTACCTACTACTGCATATTTCTTCCAGAACTCAGTAGAAATAGACATCTGTAGACATTTCCCAGGGTCAGGGGACTTGCATGGATTCCATGGAGCAATGCTGTCGGGCTTCACATGAGACTCCTACCGGTGGCCGCCGTACTTGGCCACCCAGTCTGTCCTTCCATGCACCGAATGAACTGGCTGTGCACGGTTCACGATATTTAGATTCTTGGCTGTAGGTTTGTAAGTAGGTCCTGAAAACTGACTCCGACCAGGTTTTGTGTTCCAGGTATATTCTGGAAGAAATGAGAATTGGAAGTTAGAATTTTATTCATTTGATTATCAGATTTAAAATCAAGCAATTTATCTTTTTATTTTATGGGGAAGTCTAGAGTTTATCTTTAAAAGATCAGTGGCTTCCAAGATTTTTTTTTTAAATATTAAAACTAAAAATTTATGTTGATACGGAATTCTCAGTAGCTTAAGAGCCAATATTTCTGGTTTACAGTTCTGATACTGCTACTGTTTCTTTTTTGGACTCACTCAAATGCCTTTAACACATTTAGGTAGGCAACATCGACCAGGGTGACCAAGAAAATTCTTGGTTCAGGTTCAACAGGCAATTCCCACAGTGTCAGTGACTGTAAAATCACACAGTGGTTAAATCTGACTAATATTCAAGTGTAATACCCACTACAGAAAATTTATTTGTAATCATGAATCATATTATAAGTCTTCGGCTTTATGGAGCTGCATGGATGGGATCCCATCATAGATTTCTTACATGAAAATGGGGTTTTTAGAGGCAGGAAACTTCATTATTTTAATTGGGAAAATGATGGGTGAAAACAGAATTCCTTTAAAAGGTGAGCCATTCCTAAGATCCCAAACTTTTCATCATATTGTTTGTTTTATTCAAACATTTGGCTGATTAAATATTTGTGAAATTTTAATTTGTTAAAAATTTTTGTTATCTGAACAATTTACAAGCCAAACTTGCTTAAACATCTCAAATGACAAAGCAGTAAATCATTTTACAGAGAACTTATCTCTTCTCCAGTCCTTCCCTCACTCGCTCTCACTTCACATTTACAGCTGATTATCAGGTGTTCTCTCTCAAGAGGGATGTTTGATCTTTCCATTTGAGATTTAAGTATCCTTTCACACTGATGGCTGTCATTCTTGGATTAAACTCTAAAGTTTCAATTTTGAAATGAGTCTAACCATTTTGTATACCTAGCACTATACTGTATTCACTTGTGTGGTTTCCCTGGGTTTTTTGTTGTTGTTGTTGTTTTTTATATATATAATTTCTCGGTAAAACTGGGAGCGGAGGGGAAATGATAGGAGCAGTGTGGGTCCAGTGTGCTGCTGACCTCAGCTTAACTGGAACATATCATTAAGTGAGGAACGGCCCTGGGGACAGTCACCCTGTCCTGTCCTTTGACTTTTACCAGGTTTACAATTCTCCAGGTTAAAGCCAATAAAAAGCTACCTAATGAGGCAGGGACAGAGTGTTCAGAAGAGCCAGTCAGCCCTTAACTGTTAAGGAAAAACTGGTTAAACCGCTAACCAAGTTTTCCAGGAATGGCCCTTTAGTTCTAACCCATGGGAGTGTAGAAAAGCACCAGCGTGTTAAATTTGTGACCCCGCACCTGAGGTCTGCAGGCCAGAATGGTACCGGGCGTGGAGGAGAGCGCATGTGGGAGGGTGCGAGGGGAGGGAGGTGGGAGAGGCCATAAGCCCTGGGGATGCAGAGAACCCCTTCAGCTAATAGGGTGAGGCCCTTGGGGTACAAAATGAGGGATTTGGGGAGTAACAGCTTTTCTCCAGGTCATGACATAGATCTGTCAAGTCCTAAATGCATTTGAGGGAAACCTTGTCCAGGCAAATACTTTTAAAACCTTCTTTGAAGAGGGAATCATTTTGCCAAGAAGGGTATAGTGCTGACATTTAGGATTTCTGTCTGAGAGATAATAGTTTTCGGTTTCAAGCACCTTTGGTGAAGAACTTAGTAGCCGACAAAGGAGCTGAGATCTTGTGGCAGGGCAAGAAATGCTTTTGTGTCCAAGCCAGACCAGGCCCTGGACCTCCTGACCATGGGGCGGATAGCCCTCTAAGATTTGCTGTGCATTTATTTTAAGAGCCACATGTGTCCTATCGGGGGCATTTAACTTCTTGTAGAAAATGTTTGCTAAAGGAAAGATGTTTGCCTTTGGTTAAGAATTTAATCAGTGCCACCACTGTGTCACTTTTAGCAAGAAATAAAACCTCTGTAAAACAGAGATGATAATAGTACCTTCTGTAGTGGAGCTCATGAATGTAGCGCACTGAGATCAGGGCCCTCCCTGCCCTTGTAAAGGGTGGCTATCTAGGAAGGAAGTCCCTCCTCAAAGTCCTTGTTACCATCAGAGCAAGGGGAGAAGGAGGTGTTAGGAAGTCTGGGATGAGAGATTACATGGGAAAGCTGGAAGAAATAAATTTGATTTTTTTCTCAAAACGTAAGGGTAAGGACAAGGAGGAGCAGAGAGGGAGGCAGGCTACAAGAGAAGGGGAGATAGTTGAGTAAATATGGTAGTGACCTGGTTTTATTTTCTTGTGGGAAACTGCCACACAAGTGGGAGTACTGGAAGACACATCTCTTACAGAACAGTGTTTTCCTAAGGATTTGCATTGACTTGAGAATGATTAATATTTACTTCTTTTTTTTACCTTTCCTCCTATCACCATCTGTTGGAAAATCTGATGAGCAGGGTAAATGAAGAGATGAAAAGTTATGAGAAAGCCTTTACCAAAAAAATGTAAACAGGACTATGCATGCTAATTTGACAGAATACTTAATATGTAAAGGTCTTCAATATCTTACAAAAATAGTTTTAAAAATACCCACTTTAACTTTGTCAGAGCAGGTACTCAGATAACAAAATAATTTGAAACATTATGATTTTCCGCTTTTATTTTAAAAATTGCTCCTGAGCCATGGCTGGTGACTTACTGTAAGGCTGGATTAAAATACCCAAGGCTTAAAAAAAAAAATCATTGCTGTATATCAAGTGTTCACTTACATATTTTGTTTCAGCAAAGGGATAAGGAAGCAATTCTTTTCACAGATAAGGTAACTGAGTACTACTTACCAGTTCTACTCTGTGGTAAGAGATCGTAAATTATAGAAGTCCAGTGCTTTTTACAGTTTTAGCTCCAACAGTGTGAACTTTAAAAACTGGCAGCTCAAATCAGGAGTTTTAAGTTGGGCTCCTGGCTAGGACATGTTGCAAGATTACTTTTCGAATGAACTTTGATATTACACTACAGCTTTGTATCTTACCAAACTTCTGACTATCTGCCTTAGCCTTTAACTTTAGGTGCTTTCATGAGGACCTCTATTTTAGATTAGAATAATTTCCAGAACGTTCATAGCCAGATCTAGTCAAGCTCAAGTACAGAATCATGACCCTGATTTTCAAGAGCACATCCCTGAACGTGGCTGTCATGCCACCGACTGCAGAGGAAGCACCCTGACTGGTCATCGCTGGAGGGCGGAGGAATCAGCCCTTCACACCTACTACTGTTGCAAAGCAAGCGCAGGGTGTTTGGAAGTCCCACCACCATTCAGTTCAATGCAAGGGAACTGCAGAGGGACTGCCTGTGAAATGGCACACGGACAGTGTCTCAGCATTTATTAACCTTGCCCTCTGTGCTAGGTGGGAAGCTCTGAAGAATGCCATCTTCCATCTTGCTGGCTAGCACGGCATGGTCCTTGGAATTACACAGACACGGTTGCTCTCCCAGCCCCACTGTTTACCAGCTGTGTGACCCTAACTAAACCACTTCATGTCAGTTTCCTCCTCCGTAGAAGGGCTACCTCATCCAGTCCTGCGAAGATTAAACGGCGTAATACGTGCCTGGCAGAGAGGAACCACTTAACTAGAGGTAGCTCTTATGACAGACCCTCAAACCATATCTTTAGAAGAAGAAAGGACATTTTGCCAAAAATGATTAGAACTGTGTTAATAAGGTGAGACTAATTTAAAAGTCTTCACTTGGGGAAAGTGATGGTGTAAACTTAGAAAGAGCTCCTTTCCAATCAGAAATCTCAAAAACTATAGTTGTCCTTACCTGAGGTGGTTGCACCGAGCGGCGCGAAGTGTATCCTCTGGCCAGCTGACCCCACTTCTTTTTTGAGAAAGGAAGGAATATATCCTGACTGGTTGTAAGTAGCATAACTTCCAAGATTTCCTAATGAGGTATCATAAAGTTGCATAGTCAGAAGGTGAATATTTTAAAGCACCACAGAGTAACGAATACTACACCCCTCCTAATTCTAGATTCTGTTTTTCGAGTATCGACTCTATTTCAAGCGCTGTATTATAGCTTTACAGATAATCCTATTCAGGCCATATAACAACCCTTTTAGATGCCTGTTTTATCCACACCTTGTGGCTCTTAGAACTTGCCTAAATGATGACGGTAAGTGACCAAGCTAGAATGTGAACCCAAAGCTGTTTGCCCTGAACATACCAGGTTTTCTTTATGACTCCCACTCTTAACCTAAGTGTGTTCCCTGCCAGGAAGCCCCCATCCCTGCAGGGCTCCCTGTGCTTTTCTTCATTCTGTAAAATCACTATAGTAACTGCACCTGTTCTCATGGGGTTGCTGTAGAGATTTAATGAAATGCATGCAAGTACTTAGCATAGACGCTGGTGTTCAGTAAATGTCAGCTCTCATCATCCTCATCCTCATCACTGTTAGTGAATGATCAACCTGGGGGCACCAGAGTGATGGGCTAAAGGGGGAAAATCTAAAGGCAGAAGACGGGAGGTCATTGCTAGAGCTGAAAAGAGTATGAGAGTCTGAACTAAGGGAGTCACGGAGGGAATGGAGAAGAGAACTGTGGGTGTATGGGGTAGGAGTGGTAGGGAAAGAGGAATATAAACTCAGTTTGTATCTTAGGTGACTAAGAACAGCAACTGGTTTGTTGGAAAGACATGGTACCTGTGGGATTTTGGAGTTGTAGCGGTAGAGCCGGCCTGGAGATAGGGAATTAGCAAGGTATGGCGGTTGTGGGGCTAGGGGCTTGGAGGAGCCAGCTCAGAGAGATTGTGGGATGTGCAAAGATCCAGAACAGAGGCCCAGGGAACACCAGCATTCAGGGACAGGAAGAAAAGGACCCCATGGAGGAGAGGGAATAGAGAGGGTAGATGACAGGAGCAGGGTCTGAACATCCAGGAGAACACAGTGTGTGAAGAAAGAAGGAAAACCAAAGGAGGCAGAGATCTGATGGGATTAGCATGGCTGTGGGATCTAGCCACTAGGTCATGTCAGGACCTGGCAGGAGCGGTTTCCGTGGCCTGAGGCCAGCTTAGGACAGACCACAGTGCATTGAGGAGCAAACTGGAATTAAGAGGAAAAGGAATATAATTTCTTTCAAGGAGCCTCGCTGCGCAGGAAAGGAGACACGTTAGTCAGCAAGGAGTTGGAACAGGGCTCTGATCATGATGGTGGTTTCGAAGAACTGCTTGTTTGGCAGCTATGACTGAAGCAGTTCTTACAGTGTTACTGGTTCACAAGTCTGGCCTCTGAACTTCTTGTCCCTGATGTCTGTCACAGTGCTGTGCACAGGAAGCTCTCAGTGTGTGCTCTTGAACCAACAAATGTCAAACAGCAGTGTCATCACAGAAGTGAGACTTTATACAGTGAACCACATCAGTTGGTACAGTTTTTAACACTATCGAATTCTGCATAAGCATAGCTGCCTAATTTGACCTTTCTTTTAGCTCCAAGTACCCATTTCTAAATCACTAATCAGCCCTTTACGTCAAAAGATTTTTGAAAGGAAGTTCATGCAGTGATCACATTCAATGGCAGCGTCAGAACATTGCTCTAGCTCTCCTCCTCCTCAGAGCAGATGCTACGTGCTTACTGTGACAGAAGTCCTAGGGATGACTATATAACAATACCTTGGTAAATATCATGTCCTCCGTTTTCTAGATGGGGAAACTTGACTTAGGGAGCCTAACCGACTTGTCCACAATCACAAGGCTACTGAGTGACAGAATGGGGAATGGAGATATGTCAGATTCTAAAAGCCATGTGCTAAGCAGTTAATAGGCTGCAGGGAGAAAGTTGCTAAGGAAAAATGCACAGAAAATGCATTATTTTAGCTTATTATTTTTGAAGTACCTTGTGAGCTGTGAATTTTTAGGCTGGAACCAATAGTTAGTACTGTTTAAACCAGCAACAGTGAAACTCTAGGAAATCCATCATCTCTATTAACCTGGTTAAATTTTAAATGATTGTTAATACATAAGAAATGAGTTTCAGAACTTTAAAAACGGTTTTCCAGGAATACTGATTACAAAATTAGAAAATATTCTTTTAATTCTTATTCTCAGTAGATTTGCTTCATTTATATAAATTGTTAATACTGACTTAAGAAGATGAGCCTAGAGTTTTTTGAGAGCAAGTTTGTCTTAGAATCCCAACTACTGAAGAAAGGTGTTCTTGATGTCGTGGAATGCTTCTCTATCTCCCAGCCCTGGTCTGACTTCTAAAAGCAGGTGACCTTGGTTGGCCTTCATAGTGGCCTTGTATGACAGGATTGAGGGCAAATGTGGAAAAGAAAATTGGACAAGATATTCAAAGAACAAGTTGTACTCATCTAGAATGCCCAGAAATTACCTTGTGGGTCCTCTAATTTTTCAGGAAAACTTTCATTGCATGATAGTTTTTCAATTGGTTTAATTATGCTTTCCTCTGAAGAGAAGGCAAGTGGAAAGAAAGAATGAACAAGAAGAATGTTTTAGGAAAAGCAGAGAAACAATGGTTAGATGATTCATGAAAAAATCAGTAAGAACCTTTAACATGAGAAACTGTTCTCACGTGTGGTCACAGCTTTCATTTGATGCCAGCCAATTATATATTCCCCCGAGATGCAAAGTTGTAGTGTGATCATTTAAACTCATTTGTACTTAACCAGCTGGTTCAGTGAATATTATTTTAAAATAGTGGAAAAAAATAAGTAAATTACAGTGCTGCAGTGTTGGATACCTCAGCACTATTAAATAGATAAATTGAATCCTCAGAGCATCTGGAAAACTTAAAATGTCCAGAGTGTGTTAGTGTTACATCAGAATACCCCAGTAGACTACTCAGTTGCTACATCTGTGATCTCAGATTTTTTTTTGGACTAATACTATCTATCTATCTATCTATCTATCTATCTATCTATCTATCTATCTATCTATATTTTTAAAAGAACTCTTCTTCACACACTTTAAACTGATATGTAAAATTTTTCATTGTAAGTTTTATACTTTGTAAAGTTGTCATTTGTGACATATTGTAATTATAGACATTTAAAAATAAAACTATTACATCTCTGCTTTAACTATAAGCAGTGGAATCTAAATACCATGGTGGTTTTATGCCTACCGATACTGACTTACAAAATACATGAATATATTCCTTTTTAACAGTTGGAAATTTCACATTAATATCATTTCTCTCTAAAATTTTATTTTCATTCATGTCAACTCCCAAATTTTATCCAAATATAATTTTAGGCTTAAAAGTCTTTAAGTTGACCACTGAAAAGTATGTATAAGTTGAAACCTTTAAAAAAATTTCTTATAACCATAAGTATGTTAAAATACTTTTTTTTCTAGATTAGGTTAGTTATAATTACAACAATTCATTGTATATAATTAATCAAAACAGATGAGTACTATAAATTTTGATTACTGAACATTAAAAGGCATTGTTTTTTGGAGAAATTCATCTCACTGAGAAAGATGGCACCTTTTCAAGCTGCCCATGTATCCACAAATGAGTACTGCTTATTGCTAAAATCAGATTTCAGCACCAATTGTATTTCTTTTTCTCTTGTTCCTTTTTGGAGCTGGAAGCCCTGAGAAACCTTGGTTAACAAAAGGTGTTCTGTTACAGCTTTGTCACAACAGTCTTTGAACTCTTTTCAGAGTTCTAGACCAAAAATCATACAGTGATTTTGAAAATGAGTTTTCATTATCTGTCAGCTAATACTTCAATTAGGCTCTCCTTCAGTTTTTTGAAGGCTAAGAACTGGAAACCATGTGACTTAAACAGGATCTGTTCCCCATTATCAGAGTTACTCACTTTCTCGACATTGATCCCAACATATGAAACTGTCTCTTTGGCACCCCAGAGATTTTTATATTTTGGGGAAACAGGAAACACACCCAATAAACAGAATTTGTCTTTTCTTTTGTAAAGTAGGAGAACAGAGACCCATTGCTTGGGGGGGAGATGCATTTATTAGGACAGAATCCATATGGAAGTTGAGATCTGGCAAATTGATTGACTTAAAATTATCTGTGCTCAAGTACCAGTTAGAAAACTTTTGTGTACCCCCAAAGTTATCTCAGTTGGAAGAAGGCAGCTGCAATGTAGTTAAAAGTAAAAATCTGCAGAAGGAAAACAATGTAAATTTATACTTTAAATGTATTTTTGCTTTACCTGCATTACTCCTTTTGAAAGCAAGTTCTGCCCCCATGGGTCCCAATGACTTAGGAAATAACTGATTACTCCATGTATATGGGTTTAGGTCCTTTCCACTGGCTACCAAGGACACATTCTTGGGATTTACACCTTAGAAGAGCAAAACAGTCATTTCAGAGGTTAGCGTGTGGTCATTAACTTGAAGGAAAAATATATAATACATTCAAATGAGGATCAGAAATAACATGGAGGAGGAGAATGGAAATAAATTTATGTTGCAGTGTAGCAGATAATTGCTTTCACCTGGAATACTTCCAGTAACCTGGAATCCTCACAGTGTATTTTATAAACATAAGGTGTTTCTATCATACAAGTAATAATAGTTAAACACTGGACATTTCTTGCTAAATGTCTTGTCAAAATGGAGGTGGTACCCAAATTTTCTTCAAAAAGTTATTTCCTTGTCATTTACTTGTTTTCAGTATGAACTCTGGGGCAGACCCCGGAGGAACACTTAGTGTGGCCAGGAAAACAGACGTGTGACCAAGAACTCAGGGGAACTGAGAGTTTGGAAGTAGATGCCCTATGTCAAGATCTATCTGTGAAGCTTATTTGTATATAAGACAGGAAAATCTAAACAAAGTATGATTTTCTGAAATCTGTAACACATGGAGTCCACTTTGAACTTTGGTACTAGTCAAAGGGTGGTGGTTTAACTTATTTTTAAAGAGATTTGAAAACTTCCTGAACTTGCTTTCTTTTAACTGACAATAAATTGGATGCAACATACGGAACAGTAAAGACATCACACAGTCGAAGCCTCTGCGTTGTACATGGAGTGTTTTCTTAAGCTAATACAAGGAAAATCCTCACTGAGGACTACCATTAATGTAGGAAGTTAGTAATTCTTTCCAGGTGGGATGAGCTCTTGCTTTTCACAAAGTGAACTCCTTAGCAAAGTTTCCCATTTATGAGACATATAATAATATCCCTTGTTTTAAAGCCAGACAAAAGCCAGGTTGTTCTGTACCTCAAGGTTACTGGTCACCAGTTCTCTAGTGAAACACTCCTCCAGGTAAATAATTTGCCTTTCTTATGCCATATAGCTCCTTATGGATTTTGGTTTCTGATAAAACATTTACAAATTGAACTATAGTAGGCAATTACCTGATAATAAAGAAGATGCACTTACTAAAGAAGATAGCAATAACTCATATGAAAAAATCTTCACCAAAAAAAAAAATCCCTTACCCCCAAAAGAAAGGGCAAGGTAGGGGGACAAACTAAAAATCACCTTAAATGAACTGTTTTCATAAGTGTAGTTCAACAAAGAATGGCCTCTTGAGTACCTAAATTATTTTGTTAATCCAGTTAGCCTTGTGGTATCCCTAAACAGTTTTTTAAAAGTAAATATTGCTTTAATTCTGTCTTTTTAAAGATTCCAGATTTCTTGGAAATAGACACAATCTAGACTGTTAAAGTCATTTACATGTTAGTTTACAAGTGTTTACTGGGCACCTTCTATATAGCAAACACTGTGATAGATAGAGGTAGAAATGAATATACCATCATCCCTTGCCTCAGAGGAGATTAAATCAGTTAGCAAATATTTACTGAGCACCTATCACGTGCCAGGTAGTGTGGGTGGCATTGGACAAAAAGTGGTGACCACAGCGGACTAGTTTCTACTCTTTTGGCTCTTATAATCTACTGTAACGGGAAGGGAGACATTAAAAGTTATAAATAGGTAATGAGCGCTGTGTAAACTGTTTTAAAGAAGCTGGTGCTGAGGGGGCAGGCAAATAACAGAAGCAAGTTTGTTTTTTTTTAAAGTACCACCACTCTTTCTTTAAAAAATAGTAATTTTAAGCTGAACTGTGAATCTGATTAGGGGTCGGGAGGGGGTGGAAGGTGTGTTCCTGGAAGAGGCCACATGTAGGCCGGGGCCCTGGGATAGGGATGCCCCGGGAGACAGTCCACGGACAGAGAAAGAACAGGGACTGGCACAAAATGAGGCTGGAGAGGGGAGTAGGGGTCAAATCACGTAGGGATGTGTGTGTCCTGTGAAGAAATTTAAAACACGGTAGGAGTGGCGCCTGGGTGGCTCCGTCGTTAAGCGTCTGCCTTCGGCTCGGGTCATGATCCCAGGGTCCTGGGATCGAGCCCCGCATCGGGCTCCCTGCTCCGCGGGAAGCCTGCTTCTCCCTCTCCCACTCCCCCTGCTTGGGTTCCCTCTCTCGCTGTGTCTCTCTCTGTCAAATAAATAAAATCTTAAAAAACAAAACAGAAAAAAAAAATAAAACATGGTAGGAAAGGCAAGTGTAGAAGTGACATGGGACATTGAAGACACAGGGTGGGGGAAGGAAGGACAGAAGTGATAAAGGGGACTCGAGAAGGAGCAGGGTTTCAAAAGTGCTGTGGAGGGAGCCGCTCTCCGTGCGTTCTGGGGTCGGGCTGCCGGGAGCAGGGCGTGAGACCAGAGGGCACCTCTGAGAGATGCTTTGTGCTTGCATCGCACGCTGTACTTGCAACTACCTTGCAATACTTAAGTACCTAAGGCTTACAGGGAGGTGTGGGGAGGGGAGAGGGAGAGGACTGCAGTCCCATTGTAAGTAACAGAAAACAATCTCAAAGTCTTGCTCCAAGTATACAGCCGGTCAGTAGCAGGTCAGTAACTATGACTCTTGTGTCTCTCTGCCTGAAGGCCAGTGTCACAGATCTCCCAATTCTTGTAGTATAATGTCATGCTGCCCTGAAAGTGTATGGTACATTTCTAGAGCTCCCATGATCTTAAAGGTTGATGTTTAATAAGACCTTCTATGCTTGGATTTATGGTAAAAAAAAAAAAAAAAAAAAAAAGAGGGCCCCCAAAGATACTATTCTCTTTTTTTTCTTCTTAAAGATACTCAATTATAAAAATAACTTTGGGTCACAAACATCAAGGATCACTTCTTATTATGGTTTCTACCCTCTGTGGTTGCCGGCTCATGATAGGTGCTCAATAAATATTTGTCCAGGTGACTGAACTGAGCTCAATTCTAGTTTCAAGTCTCATCCAGCTCTAAAGGGGCATCCTCAAGAGAAAAAATGCCAACAGGGGAACGGTAAGACTCAAGTTTAGATTTCATGCAATTCTAATTTCAAGTCTGTTTATTAAGTTTCAATTATAGCCATGCTTCTGACCCAGAGTAATTTGCAGAATCTGTTAGATCTCTCTTAAAAGGGAAATGACCACATCAGTCTCAGATACCCTAAAATATGTCCCCGAAAACCACACTGGGGAGCAGAAATATGAAAACAGGGTACCTTGGATCCATTTAGCCTAACAAAAATTTATAGTTGCCTCTCCCACCACCAGAGGGCTCCCTTGTACAGATAAGAAAATACCAATTTGCTGCCTTTTTTTTTTTTTTTTAACAGGGAAAAGTATCCCCCATGAATCTGTGTTCTGGGAACTTTGCTACATCCCTGCTTTTGCAGTCAGATCAGAACTCCCTCATAGTATGAACACAAATATTTACAAACCTACAGGTATCTAGATCGAGATTACAAGGGAAGTGTCTTTGCTGCTTTCCTCAAAAGTGCCCCCATCTCTTACCGTTTTAATTCCAACTCTCCTCACCTTCCTAAGGACTTCAGTCCCTCAGGCATCCCCCTCCCCTCTTGCATGACTAATCCCTCCCTCTGTAAGCGATCATTCCTGTCCACATGTGGATGAGCTCCAAAGACCCAGAATTCCCACCACTGACGGTGCTCCCTGAGCCAGCTCCAGTATGGCTCTGTTTCTGAGCTCCTCTTCACAGCACAACGTCTCCTAAGAGTAGTCTGCCTGTTCAGTCGCTAACTTTTCAACCCACTCCAGCCTAGTTCTCCCTCACCATTCCAGACTGAAACTGAACTCCCAGGGTCATCAGGGACTTCTCCACTGACAAATTTTATCAGGCATTTCTCTCCCTTCTTATAACCGCTCAGCAGTAAACTCTTTCAGGTAAACTCTCCCTTCTTGGCCTCTGGAAACCACCTGTGCCTGGTCTCCCCCTCATCTGCCTGGCTCCTTCCTTTCCTCTTTCTCAGCTCCTCCTCATCTACCGCTACCATGGTTCCCACTCACAATCTCCCTGGAGGTGATCATATTCAATCCATGGACTTAAATACTGTCTGGGAATGCTGAGGACTCCTACATCTGTTCTCCTTGGCCCTGGTCCCTCCTCAGCGTTCCTGGCTCTTCCCTCCTTCCGCCCGCGTGGCCTCTCCATACTGACATGTTTCACAAGCATCTCAAATACAACAGCCCACGCACAGGACTGCCACCTCTTTCCCACCCAATCCTGTTCCTCCTCAGTCTTCCTCATCTCAGAGCATGGCCCCACCATCCAGCTCGGATTCAAGCTCCAAACTCGCTTTTCCCTTATCTTCTACCAACATCTATCAGCAGGTCCACTTCCAAAATCTCTCAAGAGCCCAGCTCCCTCTAGGTCATCATCTTTCCCCTGGAGGACTCTGGTCGCTTCCAGCTGGCCTCCCTGCATCTAGCCTTGCCCTGCTGCAATCCATCCTTTACACAGAGTCTTTTTCACGCATGTGTCATGCGTCACTTACCTCCTGAGGTTCCTTCAAAGGCCTCCGTCAGACCTGGAAAGAACCCCAGATTCCTTCCCCTGCCCTCAAGGTGCTGCTTCATCTGAACCCTGCAGGCTTTCCCCCTCCTCCCCTCTTGTTTCTCTCCCCTAAACCCTTTAAGCTCCAAATCTGCAGCCTGTTGATCTACTTCTCAAGCCAGTGTCGTTCCCTCCACCTAAAACCTCTTCTCTCAGCTCTCCACTTGACTGCCTCCTCCTCATCCTTCTGGTATCAGGTCAGAGGTGAGGGGATCGGGGAGTGCCCCCCCCCCCGCATCCACACTCCAGGTTGTCTCTCTGCTTCCACAACACTCATCACCACCTGTGAATTTGCCTTTTCTCTCTCCACTAGAACGGAAGCTCCTGGAGAGCAGGGACCTTGTGTGTCTTGTTCAGTGCTACATAGATATCTCAATACCTAGATCATTAAGTACCTGGCACGTATTAAGTGCTTAATATGTATTACTGAGTGAATGAATAAAACAAAGGAATCAACAGCCTCCACAAATGAGTGTGTATGCTATCCACGGGTCCCACAATGTCTTGCCCTTCCATCTGCACGGAGACATGCTGCTCATCCACTAAGGACCAGCTGGGTCACCTCCTCTATAAAGGCTAAAACAAAACAAACACTGAATCCACAGATCTCCGAATATGCAGGGTTATAGTTTTAGCTCCTTCCTGGATAACTTCATGCCAGTCTCTTCAGTCTACCTTGGATAGGACAGTATCTTCCTTCTTACTACTCAGCAGAGAAGTGCAGTCCAAAAGCCTGGCTTTGTTCTCCCTTCTCCCTGTTATTTCAACTTCTTCAACATGTGTGGCTAAACCTATACAGCCGCTGTGCTTCCCGTTTTCTCTCCTGTTCATTTCTAAAGCCCTTCGGTAATTCATTTTTTCCTTTCAATTATTGACAGTAGGAGTGGGTCTCTACTGGATTCCTAGAACTGAAACTTAAGTGGTTGCCTAAAAGGTATACAGAAAAATGCTGTGCAGCAATCTCTTGCTAACAATCCAGTTTCAACCTTGCCTCTTGTCTTCCTTACTCCTCCTTCCCACACAAGCTCCTGGGAGATAAAAACCACGGCCTGCTTCTGGATACTTCCTCATGTGAACGCAGTGGCCTGTTTACTGTGTTCAGAAAGCTGTAAACGGCCATCATGCCCACAAAAGAAAAACTTCATCTCTCCCTCTTTTTGGACTAATCATATATCTGTGTAGATACACAGTCACTTAAAAATTGATTTCCTTTTAGACTCCATTGCATTTAAACTTTTTAAAGTGGATTTTGAGGAGAAAATGCTGCCTACAGGCACAACATAAACTCCCCACCATCAGTCGTCTTAGATGGATCAGCTCAGATGTTTGCTAGGCATCCCCACCTCACCTCCCGTTTCTCCACTTCCACACCTCCTGTCCTCTCCTAATCTTCCCTTTCTCAGCTAAAATTACCACCATCCCCCCCAGTCGTCGCCAAGTCAAAAACCCAGAAGCCAACACTAATTCCTCTGTTCTTTACCATCATCCCTGCTGATCTATCAGCAAGTCCTATCTTCCCACTATTGAAATACACTGAGATTTTACCCATTTCTGTTTCCACGTTCGCCACTCTGGATGAAGCAAGCCATTACCCTCTCTATCCAGACATAGGCAGTGGGCTCTCGACCAGCCTCCGTGCCCCTCTTGAGCGCCTGGTATGCTCTACCCACCATGATCTTTCAAAACCATAATCCAGATCATTTAGGACACAGTGTAAAATCTCACGTTTTATGAAACGGTGTAATGGGGGTGCAGAATTATTTTAACAAAATTTAGCACTTACTTACAGGCATAGCTTTGGTGGGCGAGAGTGGTATTTTTTGGAAGCCTATTCTGATCTTGATTTTTGACAAGGCACTTCTTGAGCAGACTTCTCAGAAGCAGGAGACTCAGAAAAGTCCTTGGGAACAAGTAGTGACCAGGCTGAGCCAGCAAAGAACACCGTGATTATGCTTTTTGTCTTAGGGTGCCCTTCCTGCAAAGATTCCAAGGCACTTGAGCCTGACCTCTACTCTAGTTGGCAGCAAACATTTTATTTTCTCTGCTTACCTGGAAGGTATCTTGATTGCTTCAAGTAGTACTGTTTGGCTGTTGAGGCAGTTGACAGTTCAGAATCAGATTTTAGGGAAAAAGCAGCAGGTAAGCTCTTGTTTTCCCCTGCTGCCGAGTGGTTGGAGCCTGAGGGTACCGACTCTGGAAGCCTTAAAAGTCAACAGAAGGCAGCATTACAATGTGAAAAAATGTGAAGATGACAGCTACTGTTTTCTCACCCACCCCCTGCTCATCTTTTCAAGGGCAGGGTCAGCTCACTTAAATGGTTTCCATCAGTCCTTTTGCTGATAGGGATGCTAAATGACAACTTCTCCCCCAACAGATATTGGGCCGTCCACACAATCATTTTTAATACTAGACATTATGTGACAGAAAGCTTTATAACTGAGCAGCAAATTGCCTGTGTATAATGTTTCTAGCTTTCCGGCCACAGCTACAGTTGTGGATTTGTAAGAGTGGAGGGTGACACGGTGAAAGGGAAGATAATCATAGCCACATTCACCTATGAAAGTAATGTCTGACCAGTAAGGTTGTCTGGGATCCCCTCAGAGACCGACACTGACTTGGTTGGCCCTTTGAACTTCTTGCCACCCTCACCTGCCCTGGGGTAGTCCTTGACACAGGTGGGACCCTTTCATTAGAAAGAGCCCCACCCATTTCTGGCTTCTTTCCCTCTCCCTCAGCCCACTGTAGTCCTACCAACTGCTGAAATCCTACCGCTTTTCAAAATGGCTCATTCCAAAAAGACTTTGCTCTCCTCCTCAAAGTGATCTGCCCAGAAGCAGAACTCTTGAGCTCCTTAGAGCTCCTTTATTAGCAGAACCTAATACTCTCCGATCTTGTGTTATACTGACTTGAAGGTCTTATTTCCACTGCTGTACATTTGATGGGATGAAGACAGACTACATCCTGTTCATACCTTTGCTTAATACCATGTAGGTATTTGGTAACTGTCTATCGGGCATGCATACAAGTATAAGTATAAATATCTTGCTTTTGTTTTGCTTGCTAAAAAAAAAAAGACAATCCAAGTGAAAGTTTTACACTTTAGTATTTGGTCTGTTGTATTCTTTACGAGGCAGCCTAGGCTGCCCGCGAAACTGAGCAGAGAATAGCAGAGTGCATTCAGTTCACCAAGTATTTGGGCTCCTATTGCTTAAGAAATAGTGTGGTACAGAAGAGAGGCAGAGATCTAGATGGTTTTGAATTAGGCCTCACCTGACTTTGGGCAACCTGTTTATCCAACCTATCTGACTCTCAGTATTCTGTGCTACGCTATTTTTACTGAAGTATGAAGATTATAAATTAAAATTTTGGTAGGTGCTTAATATATGGGAGTATGTTAATAATAATAATTATTATATGTCTAAATTGTATAAAGCCATTTAAAGATACTAAAAAATAAAAATGGAAGAAGTAAACATTAAGAATTCATTGTCATACAGTTTTTCTAAAGAATTTCAGGAGAAAAGGAATAAATGATATTAAAGACATTTACCAGTTGTTCCCTTGCCAGAATTTAAGTATATGGACTACAAACTTGATTTTAACTATAGATTTTGATTTAAATCTCTTCCACCTAAAAACACATGATAAAATTCAGCTGGAATTAGGATGAAATGGGTTTAAAAAAAAAAGTTTTCAAGTCATCTACATAGTACACCAATGCAGATAGGAAGAATTATTTTTTTAAAAAGCAACTACATAGCTCTCTACATATCTTTAAGTTAACATCTATAATTTTTTATCATAAATTAAATCATTTTATTTCTTGTTTCTTAATAGTAGAGAGAAAACAGTAAATAATTGATAAGATGAAATATGAGGATTAACAATAATTGGAGTATGTCATGGTATGACTTGATAAAGTTTTAACCACTTTATTCCATAAACACTGAATCTTCAAAAAATTATGTACAACATATATCCATAGGTTTTGAAAAAAAAAATCACAGTTTCACAGAACATTCTAGTACATTTAAAAGAATAAGCATCATTAGGCTCTGGTGCTTTAGTAGTTCGGAATCCCTGTGCTTTCCAGCACAGGCTAAAATACCCTATTTCTAATGTGGGTTTTTTTTTTTTTTCCCCCTAAGAGAAATATGTATAGGACAGCGAAGCCTTCTGAGCTGAAGGTGGCAGTCTTCTGACTTCTCCCTTTGTTTGGCACCTCAAAAGTTGTTAGGCCTTTATGCCACTCCAGATTTGAAAATGCTGAGAGTGTGACTTTCTGGCATAAAGTGGGAGGGGGATTAAGCATGTTTGTTCTCAAGTTCTTGTACTTTAGGGAAGAGTACCTATGGAACTTGAGGATCTGGAAACCTCTTGACTAAGAATTATTCAAGCATAAGTCCTCCTAACAGAATCTTCCATGTACCTTCAGAGACATGTGTGTCCCAAAGTAAATGCCAGACAGCTATTAGATAAAATTCCCTGCCTCCTGCCAATATTTTTCTCCCTCTTCTTTTGTTCCAAAGAGAAAAAAGGAAGACAATATTTTTGCAAGCTTTTGTTCATAAGATTTAACTGACCCTCACTTCAAAGTTGAATAGTGCACTAATGATGACTTAACTTATGAAAGAAAAGGGACTGCTGGAGATACGAAACTTCCAGAAAAAGTTTAGGAAATGATCAAAAAAGTTTAGAATAGCAAACAAATTAGTGAATCTGAACACCATCAGAGGAAACCATTACCTTTGTAGATTGTGCTTTGCTTTTCTTCAGATAGGCATGCGGATTTCAAATGGGAATGACGGTGATCATAATTCAGTAGGGCACACTGAAAACTTCACAAGGACGCCTCCCCCCCCCCACAACACTCAGCCATTAATACTGAGAATCATTACTGCGAGAAGTCAAGAATCTTACCTTCCCAGAGGTATGCGTAGAGATCTGGGGTGTGTGGAAGAAAACAATAGTAAGCTACTTATTGTCTTTTAACACCTTCATTCATTTATATATAATGAGTAATATAAAGTTCATGCATGATAAAAATATATTTTCCTGGAACGTGAAATCTTACCGAAATGGAGAATCTTTTTTCCTCTTTTCTTTGAATACACTCATGCTTGGCTTCTTGGAATGGGAGGCTCCAAGATCACAGTCCTCAAACTCTTCCGAGCTATCTCCAGACTTGAACACAGTCTGACCCCAACGCCTCCTTGAACTTTTATGACCCAGTGTGCCGTTTGGCTTCTGTGGTGGAAGATCAGTTGTCATCATCATCTTAATCGTTTGCTGAATGCCTTTTATGCACAAGCTATTCTGTTGGATACTAACAGTACCCATTCTCAAGGAGCCTTCCATATAGTTAAGAAGATACATATATACACATTGAAAAGTACTAACAAAAACAGGTAGCACATGTTAAAAATATGATAGGAGTTCAGAGGTAGGAGAGATCTCTGGATTTGGGTTGGGGTGAGGATCAGAACTGACACCTCACTGATGTATAATTTGGAAAACTGTCGTGTGTGACTGTGTCTCTTTGGGCAAGTGAATTAACTTCTCAAAGCCTTGGTTTCCTCCTCCTTAAATGGAGATAAGCAGTATTTCTCTAATTAGTGTTTCTGAATTTAATAGTAAAATACCTTGAAAGTCCTTAGGATAAGGCCTAACACGTAACAGGAGTTACTAAGGTTAGGTGGTACAGTTGTTATTACTATTATTGTTGTTGTTCCAGAGTTTGGAAGAGGAAATATACAGAGTATGACTTTTAATAGAAAAGAGCCTGGATGGCTCAGTCAGTTAACGTCTGACTCTCAGCTCAGCTCAGGTCTTGATCTCAGGGTTGTGAGTTCGAGCCTCATGTTGGGCTCCGTACTGGGCATGGAGCCTACTTAAAAAAAAAAAAAAGAGAAAGAAAAGAGAAAAAAAGAAGAGTGCCAGAGTTTGTTCCAGCAAGAAAGGGTAGACCTAGCTTATCAAAGCAGATGGTTGGTACTAGAAGTAGTGGGGGATGGGGTTGCGAAGACAGACTGGTGCCGGAGTTTGAAGGCCTTCAGCGTCTGTCTAATGAGTTGCAGCTCTCCCGTGGGCAGTGAAGAACACCGGATGTCTTTGAGCTAAAAAGGGGGAAGATAAAGGTAGCATTCTAGAAGGCCAGGCTCTTCATAGAGGAGGCCTTTGCAGTTATACTGGAATGCTCACGAAAGAATACATTTGCTCTTAACAAGGTATAGAAGGCCTGGACTTCGCATCTCCCTGAACAGAGGTCAGAGGACAGTGTGGCACACACTGCGAGGTGTCCACTCAGTAGCCATTCTTCCTGTCTTCCTTACTAATAGACTTGGTGCCGTGCAGCAATATGCCTACTTAACACACCTGAAATCTCAGCCTCCTTCGCAGCTGTATGGAGCTGTGTGACACGATCTAGCCAATGAGTTGTCGGTGTAAGTTTACTGGAGGGACTTCCAGGAGAGCTATTTTTGGGCTCCCCTGGCATGCCAGTGGCTTTCACTCTTTCCTCTTCTAGAACGCAGAAGCCACCCCAGAGGAGTGGCTGCCACAGCCATCTTGTGGCCACAGGAATGAAAGTCGCCTGCTAAGCATGGCAGGACAGGAGGACAGAAGCAGTCTGGTTCCTTCTACAATCTGTACCAGCCCTGGTTTGGCCCACCACCTGACTTCTTGTTACGTCAGAAAATAACCTGTTATTGTTTGAACCTCAGTGGTCAGGTCTCCGTCATAAGTCACAGAATGTAATCCTAATGGATGCAGACAAGGAAGGGCAGGGATGACTTTGAAAGTTTCAGCCTGCTTGTGTCAGGACGGTGGCTCTGTTGATAAAAATAAGGAATGAGGAAGAAGACCTGGCCTGGACCAGACCGAGGTTTTATTCAAATTGATCTGGGGCGGTTTGGGGGTACATAAACTGAAAAATCAAAGGCAGTTGAAAACCAGGGAATTTGGAAGCAAACGCAGCTATGTTTGGGGCAAGAAGATGTTTAAAGAATGGATATGCTATTGCTCGGAGCCCGTGGGGACTTCGTGGCAGCTGATGGCAGAAATGGTGTTTGCCAACCTCTGTCAGACTGCTGTTTTCTTCGCTAGGGACAAGTAACTCTAGACCAAGGAGAATAAAACGATCTAAGATCCCAGATAAGTAGACCTAACCAAGGGTTATATTTAGCTGAGTTTCAGCTGAATTTTTTTTTAGGGTGCTGATGCTCTATGCTGCTGAGCAATGTCAGTAATATCAAGTAGTCTTCTATGTCTGAGAAGATGGGAAAAGGGCAAATATAAATAATGTATATAAAGTAGAAGGTGGATTTTTGCAAACTCCACTTTAATACGTTTGGTATAGGATGAAGGCAAAGATTCTAGAATCAGTTATTAAAGGGAAAGTTTGAGCACCGAGGGAAAAAATGTGGGTAGATCGTATAGGCCACCATTTTTTATAAAAACAAACAATGAATACACGTGGTCTCTGTGGCCTTCAACAAAGTAGGGGGCAGAGTCTTTGATGCTATCAGTGAAGTGAAGTGATGAAAGGACAACAAACGTGGGTCCGTACTGTTACGGACTCAATGTTTATTTCCCCCCAAAATTTATATGTTGAAATTTGTACGCCCCTCCCCCCAAATTTATACCCTGTGTCTAATGTGATGGTATTTGGACAAGGGGCCTTTGCGAGGTAACTAGAGATTAGATGAGGTCATGAGGATGAGACCCTCATGATGGGCTTAGTGCCCTCATGAAAGAGACTCCAGAGAGCTTGCCTTCTCTCTCTGCCATGTGAGGACAAAGCGAGAAGGCACTTTCTACAAACCGGGAAGAAGGCCCTCACTAGGAATCAAACTGGCTAACACTCTGACCTTGGACTCCCCAGCATCTAGAAAATAAATTTCTGGCTTAAAGCCACCCAGTCCCTGGTATTTTGTTATAGCAGCCCGAGCAGATGAAGTACATTGTTCAATAGTCTGACCAAGAGTACTCTCAGTGGATCAGTGTCATTCTACAAGAAGGTCCTAGTGGCCTGCCCAAGGGCTCATTGCCATTCTGTTCATCATGAAGGTACAGGAGAAAAAAAGCAAATGAACAGCTAAACCAAGCATAGTTAGTGACATGCTAGGCAGAATGGTTAAACTGACAAGACAAAAATAATTTAGAAACTGGAGAGGTAAAAGTAAGGTCTTGCAACTTTTTGAATCCTAGAGATCAAATGCACAAGAAAGAAGTAAAGAATATGTGATTTAGCAAAAGCACTTGTAAAAAATAGACTTAGGAATTTTAGTTGACAGAATGTTTAATCCCATCTCTGGAACTATTAGCTATCTAAAAACTTAGCGCTAGGATACTGGGTACTTTAACTTAGTGAATGCATACAAGGCCTTAGCATAGTACATGGCACTTAGTGATACTCAATAAATATTCATTTCTTTTCTTTCCTCTCAGTATGAGTCAACATTTGATATGCCTTCCAAGAAAAAAACAAAAAAACAAAAATGTAATCTTTGGTGACATGAGAACATATATGGTTCTGGAATGTTGGAGGTGACTCACCCATGGTTTATACTCCCTGCCCGTGGTTTGCCTCTAGTTCTGGCAGCCTCATTCTAAATGGGAAGCAGGGGACTCAAGGCTCCTTCCTACACAGGAACCAAGGATTACTCAGTCATTGGTGAATGATGTCATGTGTGGAGTGCGAGGGAACTGGGGGTGTTCCTCCTAGAGAAGAGGACAGGTAATACAAGGGCTATTTTCAAATATCTGAATGGCTGCCTTTCTTGAAGAGTGATTAACTTTTATTAAAAGCTAGAGAAGGAGCGCTTGGGTGGCTCAATGGGTAAAGCGTCTGCCTTCAGCTCAGGTCATGATCTCAGGGTTCTGGGATCGAGCCCTGCATTTGGGCTCCCTGCTCAGTGGGGAGTCTGCTTCTCCCTCTTCCTCTCCCTCATGCTTGCATGTTCTCTCTCTCAAATAAGTAAATAAAATCTTAAAAAAAAAAAGCTACAGAAAACCAGATTTTAGCTCAGTATAAGAAAAAACTTCTGAATAGTCAGAAATGTCCCAAAGAGGGGACACCTGGGTGGTGCAGTTGGTTAAGTGTCCAACTCTCGGTATGGGTTCAGGTAATGATCTCACGGTTGTGGGATTGAGCCTGTGTTGGGCTACACACTGAGCGTGGAATCTGCCCGAGATTCTCTCTCCCTCTGCCCTTCCTGCTCATGTGCTCTCTCTCTCTCTCTCTAAAATAAATAAATCTTATAAAAAAATAAAGAAATGCCCCTAGATGATATAGACTCCTAGATGTAGTATGAACTATTAATTCATTTGTTCAACAGATAAACTGAGAATTCAACCATGTGCCAGGCACCATTCTGGGTTCAGGGCCTGTACTGATAAACAGACAAACATCCCTGACCTCACGGAGCCTACATTCTATAGGAAGAGCCAGATAATAAACAATACACATAAGAACCAGGTAATTAATAGTATGGTATGATAGGATTAGTGCCATTCGGAGCAGGGCTTGCTTATATAAGGATGGCAGGAATGGATAAGGAATTAGACAGTATTCGTTGAGATCTCTCAGTCCTTAAAATGCCCACAATGCAAATGCATTTGGGAGTATACATCTTGAGGAGACAGCTAATATGGCCCCTGACAAGTTCCCCGAACTGAACAAAAGTAGGAAGAGAAAGTCTTAGACTATGCCTGATACTTAAAAAACCCATTCTGTTCATGTTCATTAGTATTTAAAAACAGTATTAAATTACTGTTAAAATCCTTAAGATTTAGGAGCAGCTCTCTTGAGTCCCAGATTCTATTAAATTCTTTGAGTTCTTTTGCATTTAAGTAACTGTTAAAGAAAGTATGTAGCGTCCAAACTTTATTGCATTCATTTTGGCTGTTTTTCTTTTTATAACCCATATTAAAATTTTAGGTTATCTCTTGCTAAGCTCCCGCCAAAGGAAGCAGGGACTGTAACATAAATAATCTTTTATGTCTTCCCCCACATTTTTAGGAACGCTTACAGAATAAAATCCGAACTGAGCCAAACTATTGCATCTAAAGTGCCGTTATGGGCTACTTACAGTTGGCATGTTTCTGACGATACTTGGAAACAGTGTTTGTGGCTCTTTCTGTTGACCCAGCTGCTTTGGCGCTGGCTGGACACTCGTGTTCTGTGGAGGCTGGATGGACTGCAGTGGCTGGTGGCGGTTTTTCGACTGGGGCTGTCTGACCGTCTGATTGTTTATGTCCAGCAGAGGCTTAGATTCTAGATCCCCTAAAGATGGCTTTGATTCTAGTGGTTGCACCTGCTTATTTAAAGATTGTTTTGATTCCAGATGATGTGAGGAAGGGCCTAATACTTGACCAACTTGAAAATACGGGTGTTTCAATGCCTACAAAAGCATGGAAATAAGAAATGCTTATTAAAATGGTTGCGCCTAAATTTATTGCACATAAACGACTGACTAGCAGTGGGCTCGGCATACAGCACTAGCCTCGATCAGCTTCAAAGACTTAGAAAGCGTCCAGTTTTCCCCTTATGTGGTACCTTCAAAAAGGTAACCAGGAAATAATGATTTAGGACATAAATTTCTTTTAAAAAATAGGTACAACATAGTAGGAAGAAGGTAAAACTCATGTGTAACGTCCAGGCAAAGCAACTGTTGTATTTAAAGATTCTGTATGAAAACAAAACCCAGCTTATAAACATTGGCTAAATTTGATGTGATTAATTCAAACTAAAATGCTAGGTACTGATCATGGTTTAGAGTCCATCCATTAGGAAATGAATTAAGAAAACCTTTTGTGGAGTTCATTTTAAATGATTAACTTGAACATTATATAAAAATCAGGGCTACTCTTAGCCCAAGGATAGCTACATACCTATTAGCAGTAAAAAAAATTCTAAGAAAGGGGATTACAAATATATATGTGTTAGAGCTTGTTATAGCAATATACCAGCAAAGAGAAGATATTTATGGGAAGAAAATATAAAAATAACAAAAAATGATCACTGATCATTTTTATCATTATCACTGGTTAACTCTATCAGTTAACTATAACTGGTTAACTATATCAGTTAACTATAACAAGTTAACTAGTTAACTTGGTTAACTATATCAACTATATCAGTTGCTGCTGCGTGGAGGTGGGGGGGTAGAGGGGAGGGCCCTGATGACTGACGGGTGACACAGTCTACAGTAGTGGTTCTCCACTGGGAGCAATCTGTCCCCTCTGGAGACATCATTTTTATTGTCACAACCTGGGGGTGGGAGGTGTGACTGGCATCTAGGCATGTTGCCAGGGATGCTGCTAAACATCCTACAATAACAGGATGGTCTTCACAACAAAGAATGATCTGATCCAAATGTCACAAGTGTTAAGGTTGATGAAAATTGGTCGAGAGAATGCCTGAAGCCTTCTGTGCAGCTGAGCTGTGGATGCTGATCCCTTTACCAGTAATCATATGCCTGGATTAAGGAGGAAAGTTCCTAGTTCTGCGGTTTGTGTGTATGGCGGGGGAAGGTTGGGAGGGCACCTTAAGGTAGCCAAGCCCTATTACCCTGCACATCCTGCCCTAAGCCAGTACCCACCGACGTGTGAGCACAGCTCTGACCCACAGTTAACTTCTCAGGTACGCAAGGGCAGTTTTTGGAGGGACAGAAGTAGCTCTGTACATGGCTCCTGTATCCTATAAATTCACCTCTCCCTAACTCGGTCTCCCAGCTTCCACTAAAAAGCAGGACGATGAAATAGGGGACAAGAAAGAGGTTAAGGGCAGGGAGGTATATTTCCGCAGAGGTAGAAAGAATCTTTATTCTGAGATGTCCCCTACCACAACCGACGTATGTGTTAATTACACTGACATTGCTAAGTGGAGTTCTACAAATACAGGCAATTTAAATACATCAGTACCTGACGCACAGAAAGCACTCAACTTCTTAATTAAGTCCTATTAATTAGTATGTCAATACTCCTAAATTAAAAACATACTATATTTTGGAGCTAGAACCTTTATAAATGTGATTTGCAATTTCAAGGCTTCATCTGTAACAATTCTTCCTCTTTAAGATATCAGTTACCATCCTTCAAGAAGAGGTGAGTCTTTAAGAAGGAATTTGCTTTTGGGCACCTGGGTGGCTCAGTTGGTTAAGCGACTGCCTTCGGCTTGGGTCATGATCCTGGACTCCCAGGATCGAGTCCCACATCAGGCTCCCTGCTCGGCAGGGAGTCTGCTTCTCCCTCTGACCCTCCCCCCTCTCATGCTCTCTCTCTCTCTTATTCTCTCTCTCAGATAAATAAATAAAATCTTAAAAAAAAAAAGAACAAGAAAGAATTTGCTTTTTAGTGTTTATTCGGGGAATATTTGATCATTGCATAGAATAAGGATGTATGGAAAGTTCTCAGGAATTAATTAAAATAATCCCCAATGCCAACACCAGGAGAAAACTATTGCTCACATTTTGATGTTTTGCTTTTTTGTACTTCTTTCTAGTCATGTAATATATATATACATATTTAAATAAAATCATATTGTGTGTATAATATTCTAGCCTACTTTTAAACTTAGCATTTGGGCTTGAGAATTCTCCAAAATGGTTACTTTATTTTAAAAATTCCATTTTTAATGGGGGCAAAGTAGTCTATATTAAGGATTATATACTTTAAATGTTCCCTACAACATTAGGTTTATACCTCCAATGGGCAGTTTTTAATTAGCTTTGAACATCTGTGGGCATAAATCTTTATCCAACTTTATGAATGTTTTCGACGTTCTTGATATACTACATTGCAAAACTATTTTCCATTACTTAGAGAAATAGCCTTTCAGCTGTTTTTTGTTGGTTTGTTGTTGTTGTTGTTTTTGCATTTACCGTAATGAACAATGGCTGCACATTAAAAAAATATTTTTTGGTAATTTTAATTTCTTTTTCTGATTTTTTTAAATGTCTCATGCCCACTTTTCTTCTTTATGTAAGACTTTTACTATATTTTTATTACAAAAGTTAACAAATACTTAGAAACATTAGAAAATATACTGTCTCATTTGTTAAAAAGAATTCTTGCTGTTTGTCTTCCAACCTTAAGATTTTTATAAGAGAAGGGGCGTCTGGGTGGCTCAGTCGTTAAGCATCTGCCTTCGGCTCAGGTCATGATCCCAGGGTTCTGGGATCGAGCCCCACATCAGGCTCCCTGCTTGGCAGGAAGCCTGCTTCTCCCTCTCCCACTCCCTCTGCTTGTGTTTCCTCTCTTGCTGTGTCTCTCTGTTAAATAAATAATAAATAAAATCTTTAAAAAAAAGATTTTTATAAGAGAAAAAAATTTACTTTTTTTTTGATCAAATCTGAGTTTTCCCTACAGAGAACAAACTGATGGTTACCAGAGGTGAGATAGGTGGGGGTATGGGGGAAATAGGTGATGGGGCCTGAGGAGTGCACTTATCATGATGAAAAAAAAAATCTGAGTTTTCCCTTTGTGGTTTCTTCTGTTACTTTTATACTCATCTATTTCTTAGCTTGAGATTACTCACCTGTACTTTTCTTTAGTTCTCAATAGTTTAGTTCGTCCTTCTTATTTTTTAAACCTTCTGTGATTTACTTGAAAAGTATGGTAAGAAATAACCTAAATTTACTTTTTTCCGGAGAATTAACTAATTGTGCCAGTGACAGTTCCCTCCCCCCAATTTGTGATCCCATGTTTACCTGCGGCTAACTTACAGCTCCTGCAAGTTGGGTTCTCTGTCGACTCTTTTATTTTTTTTAATATTTTATTTATTTATTTATTTATTTGACAGAGAGAGAGACACAGTGAGAGAGGGAACACAAGGGAGAAGCAGGCTTCCCGCCAAGTAGGAAGCCCGATGCGGGGCTCAATCCCAGGACCCTGGGATCATGACCTGAGTATCTGTAGATGTCTAAGGGCTGGTCACAAAGCAGCTGAGCGAGGGTGCCACCTGCTGGACTCTTGTGGGAGCTGGAGAGTGAACAATACTCCAGTTCTGTGGAGGCATGATGCCGTTGCGTAGAGTGAACAAGAACCCACCTCTAAACCATAGGAAGGCATAGAAAGTCTCCTATGTTGCACAACTGAAGAGATGCCCTTTTACTACAAGTGACAAGTTTCGTCCGAATTAGCTGTCACATGCCTGAATTTTTATCATTAAAGAAATTAATTCCTTGCAGCCTCAACCTCATTTGAACCACAAGACACAGAAAATCATTGGAGTGGCTGTTTTCTCAATCCTCCCAGGGATGTTATAGGCCTAGAAATGAATTCATTACATATTGGATGACTCACGCTTTGAGGCTTACTTACAGGTTGGTAAAACCCTGGTTGAGAACAGACTTGCTTTGTAAACGAAAATATTCCTGGAGTACTGTAAAATCTCAAAAGAAAAAAAAAAGAAAGAAAAAGAAAAAAGAGAAAACCACTCTACCAGGGGGATTCATCTTACCTGACTTGCTGTTGGTCGCTTCTTTGGATCCCAATTCAACATTTCAGTCATAAGCTGAATAGCTTCATTACTGGCATTGGGAATAAGAGTTTTTAAGTTTATAGGAACACACTGGGGAAAACGGAAGTTCATAGAGGATGCAAGCTGGTACCCTTCTGGCCAGTCACTCTGTTTAAGGAATATATAAGTGGGTGGGACGGGAGAGCAAGAAGAAAATGTAATCAATTTAGTAATCAATTTAAAAACATGGGTATAATATAAAAATCACTGGTGGTGAAAATTTTAGTGTTGATTCATATAAGCAGAATGAAATACCAGACCACATATACAACTCAGTGCTATAAATAGTATAGAAAGAATATTAAACTCTTGTCCGTTTTTTGGATCTTGATGATGATACACAGCTGACTTTGAATAAATAAGCACAAATGGTGTATACAAAGCAGCTGATCATTACAAAGACCCTCATTGTGTTAGACATTGCATCCACTGTTAAAAACTGCACATAGCTAGGAAATAACAAATTACATGAAGCTTTAATAACTATGCTTACTTGTCTAATTTTAACTACAAGGCACATATTAACATAATTAGGATGTAATTATACGTACTTATTAAGTACATATCAGAAAGTAAGTTCTGGCTGGTAGTTAATTGAGAAGTACTCAGTTCAAGGAATCAAATATCCATGGCAGAGGTATGTAAAAGGAAACAGGAAAGGTTAAGAGGAAATGGCCCAGGACACATGGCATTCAAGAGTTGATGCCAATGAACATTCCCAGAGCAAGTGGGAAAGAGTCTAAGCAAGGATTGCTCTGAGGTCATCTGCTGGTCATCAACCCGGAGTTAAATATACACAATTCTAAATATAGAGAATGTTCCCTTAAGTTCTTAAAGGCAAGAACCCTTTTTTCTTCAGTCTTGTGGGGATTCTGGCTTCTCATCCCACCCAATTAAAAAAAAAAGGATAAGAAAAATAACCATTAAAGCGTAAGCCTATTTGGAAACAAAAATATCGGATAGCTAGGTAAAAGTTATAAATAAAAGTTATAACAACTTAAGGACAAGAATACTCACTTTTTTGGGAGTCCCTAAAACTTGGCAAATCTTAAAGATTTCATCGACCTCACTTGTCCCTGGGAAAAGTGGTCTTAATGTATATAGTTCAGCCATTATGCTCCCAACAGCCCACACATCAATGGGAGAGCTATAAACTGAAGATCTTAATAAAACTTCAGGGGCACGATACCTATGAAAATAGAAAAAACAAAAAACAAAACAGGCCATTTTGGTTGGAGTTGGAAAGATGGAGAGGCGGTGGGGTTTGGTCATACATTGCAATCAAGGAACCAGTATTAAGTGCCTTCTGTGTGTCCCACATTTGCACAGCGTGTTGGGGGCTCAATCGGACGTAACACATTTTCCCTGACCACAAATGGTTGGTGGAGTTGGAGACAAATATAAATGAAATGTCCAAGTGGCTTAAGTAAGGAACTCAAATGAATAAATATGGAAATAAGTACTATAAGACAGGGTTGGGGGGGGCTCTGAACAGAAGCAGAGAGATTCTGAATGAGAACAGTTGTATAATTTTACAAAGCATTATATCCATGATATATTTATATGAAGGATAGAAAACAAAAGATTAACAGAAACGATCCCTAAGTAGTGGGGTTTTCTTCTTTTTACTTATCAGATTGAAAGTGCTGATTCCTTCAGTGGACTCAGTTCCCCCAACTGACAATATCTTTAATGGAGAAAAATACCCTATTTATTTATTTATTTTAAAGATTTTATTTATTTGACAGAGAGAGTGAGAGGGAACACAAGCAGGGGGAGTGGGAGAGGGAGAAGCAGGCTTCCTGCGGAGCAGGGAGCCCAATGCCGGGCTCGATCCCAGGACCCTGGAATCATGACCTGAGCCAAAGGCAGACGCTTAACGACTGAGCCACCCAGGCGCCCCCAAAATACCCTATTTATGAGAGCAAAGGTACCTGGTGGAAAATATTCTCAATTCTAACTTTTTTTCCACATTGAAATGTGTAGATTTATCAGCCCAAATATTTCACAGTATTGTCTTTTTGCTTCTATTCTGAGTACCTTTCTTTGACAGGTTTATTGAGATATAATTCAAATAACATACAACTCATCCATTTAAAAGTGTATGACTCAGGGGCTTTAAATATATTCGTGGAGTGTGTAATCCATTATCACAATCAATTTTGAACATTTTCATTGCCCCCAAAAGAAACCTCACACCTCTCCAATATCCCTGTATCCCCCGTGCTAGTCTACTTTCTGTCCCTAGAGATTTGCCTATTGTGTGTACTTCATACCAGTGGAACCATATTCTATCCAGTCCTTGTGGACTGGCTTCTTTCACTTAACATGTTTTTTAGGTTCATCCAAGTTGTAGCACCTATCAGTACTTCATTCTTTTTACTGCCAAATAATATTCCATTTTATGGCTATAGCACACTTTAGTTATCCATTCATCAGTGGATGGGCATTTGGCTTGTTTCCAATTTTTGGCTATTGTAAGTAATGCTGTTCTGAACATTCATGTATAAGTTTTTGTGTGGATGTGTGTTTTCCTTTCTCTGGGGCGCATATACCAAGGTATGGGATTCCAGATCCCCTGGTAACTATATGTTTAACCGGAGGAACTGTTGACTCTTTTGTGCCATTTTACATTCACCTCAGAGATGTATGATGGATCCAGTTTCTCTGCATCCTTGCCAATACTTGTTACTATGTTTTGATATTTTTATGAGATAAAATTAATAGTTTCGAATGTCTTGCCAAGTTTAGATGTTGAAAACAAGTCTTCTTAATTGCATTCCATTTCAGTATAGCATCTAAATTTACCCAGTTGAAAACAGATACTCAACCAAAAACAGAACTGTGCTTCTTCCCCCCAAAAGCTCCCGAGTATTCCCCATCTCAGTGCTGACACCATCCTTCCAGTTCCTCAAGAAACAAAACAAAACCCCCCTTAGAATCTTTGACTCCTTTATCTTATACCCCACATCTGATTCGTCAGGAAATCATGGTTGCTCTACTTTAAAAATACCACCTCCACGGCCGCCAGATCCAAGTCACTGTCATTTCCTGCCAGAATTATTGTGTAACAGTCTCCTACCTGGTCTCCCTGCTTCTTCCCTTGCTTTTCTAAAATCTATTTTTAACATAGCAGTGAGAGTGATACTTTTAAGATCTGGCAGATCACATTGCACCTCTTCTCAATATCCTGTAGGGGCTCCCCAGTTCACACTCAGTCCTTACAAGTACCTATAAGGGGCTCCCCAGTTCACCACAGTCCTTGTGATGACCTGTAAGGACCTGAGACCTTGCCCTCCATTAACTCTCCAGCCCCATATCCTACTACAGCCCTCCTGATTCATTCTGCTCTCGGCAGAATTCACACATGGCTTTCCTGTCTCAAGGCCTCTACACTCAGCATTTTCTCTGCCTGAAAGCTCCTTCTTGCCTTGGCATCTCCTTCTCAGCGAGACCCTCTATTTAAAATAGCAGCATGCCCTTTCCCTCCCCAAGCACCCCCCACTCCCTGTCCCTTTCCATATTTTATTCTTCTCCATAATAATGTATCATCACCCGATATACAAATATTCTTGTTTTTACTGGAATGTAATACACATGCAGAAAAATGCACATATTGTAAGAGGACAGCTTGATGAATTGTCACAAATAGAATACGCCCATTGACCCAGTGACAAGATCAAGAAACTGGGTGTTATCAGCATCCCAGGAGGCCCCTCTCCTGCACTCTTGCAGTCACTACTCAAGTAACGGCTACCCTGACTTCTAACAGCAGAGATTAGTTTTCTCTATCTTTGCACTTTGTAGAAATGGAATCATACCATATGTACTTTTTTTGTTTGGCCTTTTGCTCTCATCATTGTGTCTGTGAGACTCAATCATACTGTTGCGTGTAGTTGTAGACTTTTGTTCTCATTGCTATAAAGCATCCCACTGGGTGAATATATTATGCTGCATGTGATGGACATTTGGGTAGTTTGCAGTTTGGGACTATTACATGACTTTTGATGAACACATGTATGTCTTTCTGTTAGTAAAAACAGTTAAAAACATCTTGCTCGTTTGTATTTTGGATGTCATGTAAGTGGCAGGAGACAGATTGTTTTTCTGTTTCGTTCACTTCTGAGTTCCCCATGCCTGAAATAGTATCTGGCACATGGTAGGTTTCCACAAATGTTTGTTTAATGAGTGAATGAATGAATGAATGAATGAAATCACCTTTCCTTCAGAATAGTCATGACCCAATCCTTCTCTCTCCACAGAATGCAAAATTCAGTTCTATATTTTGTTTTAAATACTCAAAATGGAACCTCCAGAAAGCTATGTAACGACCCACTGTAGTAAAACTTCAACACAGACCTACTTGTGCCTCTACAGAGTTGCGTAAAACTACTCACCATCTGGTAGATACATAATCAGTATATGGTGGCTGTGATCTTAATTCTCTGGCAAGTCCAAAATCAGCGATTTTTATAAGTTCTGGACCCATACAAAGCAAGTTTTCTGGTTTCATATCCCTATGAAAAAAACCTTGGTAACATAGAGAGGAAAAACAGTAATTGAGCATTATGTTTAAACACATTTGACTTCTCAACAAAATATAACCAATCCTCTCTGTTGTAATTAGGGATGTGAACTTAGGGATGTATTTCTTGTCTAAAAAGTGATGCAGGTAGGGACCCTGCTTTCAAAATAATTGGTAAGAAAGTTCACCCAGTATATGAGGTCATTCAAAATACCCACTTAACACATTTCTATTTGTGAATCCAGGAAGTTCAAGCACTTGGGCTAGATACTGCTGCATTAGGATTATCTCCAGGAATTTGCACAACTTTAAGGCGATATTATGGTCACTATTGTGTAGTAAAAGAGGAGGTAGAGGGCCGGAGAGAAGGAGCCTAATGAAAGCTTGAGGAAAGCTGCATAATCAGGCTTTTGTCACTTATTTGAAAAGTCCATTAAACAAAAATGGAACTCCACACATTTTAGCCAATTCTTTCATTTACAATTATTTTATTTAACAGCTCAGTTCTCCCCTGGTGGCTGCTTTATTGAAAAACCCAATAATTATCATGGTTACTTACCAATTCAGTATGTAAAATAAGTGTTTACTGAAGCTGAGAGGCGGGTCAATGAAAATGAGGCAGAAAACCCAGCAAGAAGAAGAACATGAAAGCCCTCTTCGTACATTTCCAAGGGGGATCTAAAGCTCGCTGGCTGGTAGACAGATGGCCTGTTTTCTAATGACCTTGCAAGGTGGGAGAATCCAGAAGGGGCCTGGTCATCTGTTGTAGGTGATCATTGCGAGGGGATTTTCATGTAGCTGTAGCCTAAACTTTTTAAGCCAAATTTTAAGCCTGAGCTTTTTGATTCCTTCTAACCAGCGTGGGCTCTACGTTTGTGACATCTACAACAGTTTTGTACTCAGTTTATCTGGCACTTCTTTTGATTTTTTTTTTTAAGATTTTATTTATTTATTTGAGAGAGAGAGATCAAGAATGAGAGACAGAGCGCATGAGAGGGAGGAGGGTCAGAGGGAGAAGCAGACTCCCCGCTGAGCTGGGAGCCCGATGCGGGACTTGATCCAGGGACTCCAGGATCATGACCTGAGCCGAAGGCAGTTGCTTAACCAACTGAGCCACCCAGGCGCCCTTTCTCTGGCACTTCTTACTCAAACTAGTTGTTGAGATCCAGTTCATGAACTTTCAAGGGAAATACACTGCACTTCCGTAACATGAAGACAGGAACAGGAGCACATGTGGTGGTGAGTAAAGCGACATAATCCATAAAATCGTACAGAATGAAACCAATTGCATATTTGTACAGTTGAGATTTTCCCCATTCTCACTAATATAAATATATCGGTAACTTGGTCCTATCTTAACTAAAATATTAGTCTTGTTTTTTTTGACAGCTACTATTTTAAAAATATTTACGCGAAGTATTCCAACTGAGATCTTATCCACTATAGCAAGAATAGTGTAGCCTTTATCAAAATGTCTCTTGTTTTTGGAGTCTGGTGTCCCAAATCACTGTCATCAGTTGTATAACCAACTGTACATTATTCGTATTATTTACTTTTAACAGCAATTTTTAACTAACTTCTTCCTTCAACCACTTATGCTCTGAAGTTGCTGGTAGTTCATCTGTATCCAAGGAATCGAAACCAGTTTTATTACTAGCCTAAAAAATATCAATAAACCACAAAGCTGTTTCCAAAAGTCAAATAATTCATAATGCTTTTGATTTTTCCACACCACACTTGTTTCTGCTGGCATAAATTAACTCAGGCAAATATCATGAGTTACCATGCTGGCCAGTGTTTAAAAACAGGTTGAAGATCAGAAATCCATTATGAACAATTAAAATAGCATATATCCTTTGTTTCCATGTAATTAATAAATGACTGACTTTCATCAATGCATTGTACTATATTATCATAGGCTTTAGACTTTTTATTTTTAACATCTTTCTTTTTCTTTTTTTTTAATTTAAATTCAGTTAGCCAACATCTAGTACATCATTAGTTTCAGATGTAGAGTTCAGTAATTCATCAGTTGCATATAACACCCAGTGCTCACCACATCTCGTGCCCTCCTTAATTAGGCTTTAGACTTTTAAAGGACAAAAAAAGTGGGACTAAGGAATGTTCTGACAATGCTTATATGGAAGAAACGATAAATAGCATTTTTAGAAAATAAATGATTTCCCGTGACAGTTAAAGGGAAAAGGAGAAAATATAAAATATGGGATGAAACATGAAAGGACTTTAATGATGGTGATTTCCAACTGCCTCTGTTCATAATGCAGCATTGGTCTGGCACAAACTCTTCCAATTTAGTATCTAAACATCTAGGGATTCTAGACAAATGTTTGCCAAAAATTTTCATAATAATCACGTTAACTTTTTGGACAAGTTATTTTGGATAGATACATAAAAAACTAAGTGTAGATCACATAAATAAGAAATTCATAAAAATAGGAATAAGCACTTTATTTAATTTCACTCAAAGAAAAGAAAAACTAAATGTAAATACTAAGAAAACTATAAAATACCATAGCAGTGGTGCTTTAAACTATTTAAATGTTAATAAATGGTCATGTGATCAAAGCACTCTGATCTTTTCCAAAAGAAGGGCATTTTGTTTGTTTTGTTTCCATTTCCATGGTAAAATCGGGGAATGAGGTTGTAGGATGGGTTTATGATAACTGAGAGTAAAGGCTGATGGTCAATTCTGCTATAGAGGAAGACAGTTATAGATTACAGAAATTGCATTATAGAGAATTATAGAAATTCTAAGTTTTTAAAATGAAAATGTCAGGGTATGTAGCCCCATACTCCAAATTTGTAGTTATTCAATATAACATTATCTAACCGCTTATATATAATTCCTGTCCATGACCTTGACAGTAACCTAAAGAGGCAGGGAAAGGAAATTTAAACCTACCATGTTTATGGATAAATGCCAGCCCCTGCAATATTTGATACATAATATTTCTGATGACTGACTCAGGGAACAGCTTGTTTCTGTGAAGACAGGAACAAATAAACAGTCATGTAATTCTGTTAACCAACCAATCAAAACAAGACAGCAGATATTCCTCCTCCCTTGGAGCCCCTGTTGGCTTCGTGATAATGGTTGAAGTTGTGATTTATAGCTTTATAGTTGTTAAAGGTTATAAATTTAAAACGTGACAATTAGAATTTTTGTCTGTTTTGATGTTTGGTAAAAACTCAAATCCAATAATGAACATATTGCACAAATATTCAAACAGCTAAATTTTAAGCTGTCCCAAGAGGAGCAAAGTAAATTGGAAAACCGATAACCATCAGATAAGCCAAGTGTGCAAATCTGTATCATGTAGGCTTTAAGAGTTTCAGGGGCATAACTGCTTCAGTTCTATATTGTCTGCTGGTATTGTCCAATGGAAATATGGTAAGAGCCACAAATGAGTACCACTTATGTATTTAAATTTTTTCTAGTAGCCACATTAAAGAAGCAAATGAAACACGTGAAGTTAATTTTTAACAATATATTTTATTTAGTATATACCAGATATTATTTCAACACGTGATCAATATAAAAATTATTAATGAATTTCCTTTTTTGCACCAAGTTTTCAAAGTCTGGTGTGTATTTTTATTTTACATTTAAAGCACATCTCAATCCAGACTAGCCATATTTTTAAGACTTCAAGAGTCACATGTGACTAGTAGCTACTCTACTAGACAGAGCGGCTTTATGTGGAATTTATGTAAAGTCTAAAGTAAGATCCTAGTAAGGACTAAATTAAGACAAACATTAATTGCTAACATGCCACAAATTAATGTGACCAGCACATTAATTTTTTTGACTCTGAATTAATTCTTTGACCCTGAAACCATGCTGTTTTATAAGTAATCATTTTAAACTTTGAAAGCTCATCATAATTTCAACATTTTCTAACATCTTTATTATAGCATGATTGATTAGATTATGGTGTTTATTCAAAATGTTCTCAACATGTAGAAAATGGCTTATTTTTGAATATTGTTAACTATATCATATGCTTATGTAATGTTTTAAAATATCCCACCAAATAGGCTAAGAACACACAACAGACGAAGAAAGATAAACACTGGTCTTATAGCAAATTTGAAAATAGTATTGATTACATATTATTGAAATATTTTTATAACTCATTTTCATAAACTATAAAATAAATTTTAAAAGAAACGAAATATTTTTATCCTATATTTAGCCAACAATTTAACTTTATAAACAGAATGCTATAAATTAAAGGTCCAGGTACAGCTTTGTAGCAAAGGTTTATGTATATTGGCCTTCAGTTAAAATAGAAAAAAAGTTTTGAATAAAAGATACTTTTAAATTAATCTTCATCCTCAAAACAATGTTCAGGAAGTTAAGCTACCGAAAACAAAGTGTAAAAATACCACTTAACCTCAGATAGCTCTTTACCATGTATAATTGTTAATTGTTAAATTTAAACCTTTGACATTGAATAATATTCAAACAATATCATTTTTATTTCCACTTAATTTAGAAATCCGGAATTGAATCATGAAATTCCAAAGTTGATTCTTTTTAGTGTTCATTTGCTATTGCATTAACCACTTCCAATAACAGATTTATATATATGGATATATTTTTTTTCTTAAGATTTTATTTTTAAGTAATCTCTACATCCAATGTAGGGCTCCATCTCACAGCCCTGAGATCAAGAGTCACACACTCTACTGACTGAGCCAGCCAGGTGCCCCATATATATATATATTTTCTTAAATCAGATAAAAGTATAACATTTCAAATATTTATATTTACTTAATTTTTCTTCAACACCTATATCTTAATACATCAGGCATAGGTTTATCCCTTCATACATTTTAAAGAGCACAATTATTAGAAGCCAAAAATTTAAGATTGCCCATCACCTGAATAAGAAGCTATTCAGATTTTTCAGTATTCTAACCCAGTCCTAATCCATTTACATGTATAACTTTTATATTAGGTATCAATGTCACATAATTACAATTTTGATTTCTGTTTTTTATCCACTCATAGGCATTTTCATAATCTTCATAATTATCACTTTTAATGGCTACAAAATAATCCCATCAATATTATAAACTATCATTACCAAAAGTTGTCCTGATAGTTATTTCTTTTAAGTAGTTTAAAGAGATAAGTGAAGCATGCTGTAGTCATTTAACAGAACATACTAACTATAGTAACTGTGAAGATTATATATCAGCATAACAAAATGCTTGTAAGTGAATCAATAAAAAACATGATCACCATTAAAATTGCAACTATATAAAAACAGGCAGGGCTGGATCCAAGGGCTAGAAAGAACTCTAGAAAAATAAACACTGATTTGAGGGGCAGAAATTTTCTTTACTTTTATTTTAACTGCTATTAATGTTATAATGATATCAGCCTGTGGAACCTAACAGGCATTCAATAAGTACTTTTTGAAAGAAGGAAAAATACGATTGAAGAAAAATTCACTCACCATCCCTAAGGATTACCTTGAGTGTGTACATGGACGTGTATGAAAGAAATACAGAGAGAGCAGTCATCATTCCACTGGGAAATCTATTTCTAAAGTACTTTAGAATCTTTTGTTGAACAGCTTTGGCTTTAAAAACAGGTAAAATGGACATTAATCTCCCACGTGTGACTGACAGCTACCACCAAAATATTAACCTCCCCAAGCTCAAGGCAGATGACTGAAGCTCTCCCTCTTTAGAGATTCTGTTCATGGGTTTAAAAATGAAAGTGAGAATTTCTTTGGGTTTGGTAACACATTATGTTTTATCATTCACTTAAACATTCTAATGAATAAATTTATTAGATTCTTTCATGAAAACTGCCTCAGTCCCTCCTCCGTTTTTCCATTAGCCTTTCACAAAATGCTTGCGAGAGCAATGAAGGTAATCTCAAATTTGTTCAAGGCCAGCTTTATTAGTATTAAAACTCTAGAAAGATTTTGGGGGCACCTGGGTAACCCAGTCGGTTAAGGGTCCGACTCTTGATCTCAGCTCAGGTCTTGGTCTCAGGGTTGTGATTTCAAGCCCCATGTTGGGCTCCATGCTGGGCGTGGAGCCTACTTAAAAAACAAATGAATAAGCCAAACTATAGGTAGATTTTGTTTCAAAAAGTATAGATAGATAGTGTGTGTGTTTACATCATAAAAATAGTGACTATGTCATAGCTGGCTCTTCTTCAAGGTTATAAAGGTAACAGCTGATTAATTTAGATCCACCTCTTGGAGTGAAAAATCTGTTCACCAAAAAGTGTGACATATTAAAGGGATCCAAAGAACTCATAGAGGAGATAACAGGGAAAACATTATAGTTTTTATAAAATAAAGACATACCTGTCTTTCATTAATTGATAGAGGTTTTCTTTCATATATTCAAATATAAAATAGAGATGGTCATTTTCTCTGATAACTTCTTTTAGCTTAATCACATTGGCATGATTAAGTTTCTTCAGAGACTGTAACAACAAATAAGCATTAAAATTCTTAAGGCAAAGTTATAGAAGTTGGCAAAATCTCATCAATCTCAATAATTACCTTAAATAATCTTATATTTCTTCCGAATTCATGAATGAATTAAGTCTTAATGTCTATAATATTTTACATGACTAAGAACATCTTAGAACACAATTTAAAATAAGTGGTAATTGTTTTAACTAATGAATGTGAGTACAAAAATAAACCAAGTCAATAATACCTACCAAACATGTCAATCTGTTACTTTTTTTCCTCATTCTATTCAGAAGGCCTAGGTTTTTTCTGACTTAACTATGTGAAATTCCATACAAAGGTATGCAAAAATTTATACAAGTCATATAGCATAAAATAGAAAGAAATAGTACGTAGTAATTAAAAGTTGCCTTTCCTTTGATAACATGAATTAAAATGTTCTTTTAAAAGTGAGAGTATACATTCACATACGAGGGTATTGTTTTTTTTCTGTTCTCCACTGACATTCAGATGAGAAATGAGAAATTACTTAGGAAGATAAAGAAAAAAAAAGAAATATAATTATCTTTGGAATGCTTCCCACAAAGAAAAAACAATCCTTTAGCTACTGTCCTCAGGAATGAGAAAGGGTGAGGCAGAGTGAAAGCCTCCTTGAGTTTTCATGTGTAGGATTTTACCTTAACTTCTCTCAAGTTCATACATTCATCCCAGGAATAGAACTTTCTCTTCATTCTGAAATCAAACAAGAAAAGTTTAGTGTACAGGGACAGAGGATTTGAAACACAAATTAAGCTGTTGGCTTTCTTACTCTAGTATTCCCTTTGGGTAAGCTGTGATCTCTCCCTCCTCCTTAAAAGGAAGTCACCTCCCTTCTGTATATCTCAAAGCTGTTTGGTACAGGTTCACAATTATGTTATATCTGAAATTCTGCTTTAAACGCAATGGTGAAAGGGTTATCATTAATCTTCCTTTCTGGGTGTCTTCTCTTATTTCCCTGATCAGTTTAATTGTGCTTTTCTAAAAGGGTCCCCTTCCAAATTTCCTCTTTCTAGAACTAAACAGATAAATATGAAACACAAAGGTGGAGAGGAGAAGAAAATCACAAATTTTGTAGCAAATGTAGTGATATAATTCGATCTGACAATTTCTATATCATTACCTCTGCTTTAAACAAGAAGCACATAAAGTTAAGTGATTCAGGTTAACAAAAATTCAGAAGCAACCAAACTTTAGAAATAGCTTTCTTTTAAAAATTTTTTTCTTAATTTTTATTTTTGAAGTTTGTTGTCATACAATGTTACATTAGTTTTAGGTATATAAGATAGTGATTCAACAATTGTGTACACTGTGAAATGCTCACCATGATAATTGTAGTCACCATCTGACATTATTACAGTATTGTTAACTATATTCCCTTCGCTCTACTTTTCATCTCTGTAACTTATTTATTTTATAACTGGAAGTTTGTACCTTTTAATCCCCTTCACCTATTTCTCTCATTCCCACCCCGCAACCACTAGTTTGTTCCCTATATTTGTGAGTCTGTTTTTTTGTTCATTTGTTTCATTTTCTTTTAGATTCCACATATACATGAAAGCATATGGTATTTGTCCTTCTCTGACTTGTTTCACTTAACATAGTACTCTCTAGGCCCATGCATGTTATCATAAATAGCAAGATTTCATTCTTTTTTTATAGCTGAGTAATATTCCATTATGTATATATACCAAATCTTCTTTATTTTTTTTTTAGTTTTTATTTAAACTACAGTTAGTTAACATAGAGTGTAATACTAGTTTCAGGTGTACAATACAGTGGCTCAATACTTCCATACATCACCCGGTGCTCATCACAAAAAGTGCACTCCTTAATCCCCCCATCACCTGTTTCACCCATCCCCCCACCCACCTCCCCTCTGGTGACCAGTAGTTTGCTCTCTATAGTTAAGTCTGTTTCTTGGTTTGCCTCTCTCTCTTCTTCCTGTTGCTGTTTGTTCTGTTTCTTAAATTCCACATATGAGTGAAATCATATGGTATTTCTCTTTCTCTGACTTATTTCACTTAGCATAATACTCTCTAGCTCCACACATGTCATTGCAAATGGCATGATTTCATTTTTTTATAGCTGAGTAATATTCCTTTATATATATACTCACACCACATCTTCTTCATCCATTCATCTATCAGTGGATACTTAGGTTGCTTTCATATCTTGGTTATTGTAAATAATGCTGCAGTAAACATAGGGGTGCATATATCTTGTTGAATTAGTCAAATTAGTGCTTTTTTGTTTTTTGGGGGTAAATACCCAGTAATGGAATTCCTAGATTATATGGCAGTTCTATTTTTATTTTTTGAGGAACCTCCATACTGTCTTCCATAATGGTTGTACCAGTTTACATCCCCACCAACAGTACACAAGGGTTTCCTTTTCTCCACATCCTCACCAACACGTTATTTCTTGTGCTTTTGATTTTAGTCATTCTGACAAATGTGAGGTGATATCTCATGTGTATTTGATTTGCATTTCCCTGATGATTAGTGACTCTGAACATCTTTTCATGTGTCTGTTGGCCATCTGCATTTCTTCTTTGGAAAAATGTCTATTCAGGTCCTCATCCATTTTTTAATTGGGTTATTTTTGGGGTTTTTTTGGTGTTGAGTTGTGAAAGTTCTTTATATATTTTGGATATTAATCCCTCATCAGATATATTATTTGCAAACATCTTCTCCCATTTAGAAGGTTGCTTTCTTGCATTTTGTTCTCTATTTTCCTTTTCCATCCCAATGTTACCATTAGAGATAAATATGCCAAAAGTAACAAAGGTAACAAAATAATTCCACCATAAACACCACAGATACAGGTTTTATTTTTTATGAACAGATTTTTAGTCACCATGCAAAATGAGAGTCAAGAAAAAAGAGGATTTATGTTCTAAAAAATACTTCTTCAAGTATAGAAATTACAAAGCTGAATTATGAAAATAAGGGCCCTATGAGCACCTGGGTGGCTCATTCAGTAAAGCGTCTGACTCGTGATTTCTGCTCCGGTCATGATCTCAGGATGGTGGGATCTAGCCCCGCCTCAGGCTGCATGCTCAGCGGGAGTCTGCTCGAAATTCTTTCCCTCTCCTTCTTCCCCTTTCCCCCACTCACATACACACACACTCTCTCTCTCTCAAATGAGTAAATAAATCTTTTTTTTTTTTAAATGAAGACCGTATATGCCCTACTGTTTTCATTTAGTAGTACAATCTATTGAGATGTTTTAGAAGATTCTCAGGAAGCTTAAAGTTATCTTTATTGATTAAACTAATTCCTAGAGGAGTTATTCAGAGTCCCTACAAGAGTGTAATACACAAGGGTAAGGAAATGAGTAAAGGAATGGCAGCGCAAAGAACTGGCAGCACGCCATGGTAGTTAAGAATATGGGCTGTGGAACTGCCCTTCTGGATTCAAATCCTTACTCAGTGACTCACTGATGTGTGACCTTGCGCAGGTTCCCCATTGACCATTCTGTGCCTCAAATTCCGTAGTTACAAAGTAGAAATTACTGCATATGAAAACCCTATTGCAAACTGCTTAGTTCAGTGCTCAGTAAATACTGGATGTTCTTGTTTTCTTCAACCAATGTGAAGAACTTAATTTTAAGAAATTAAGCCACTTTGTTAGAATGATAAGAAAAGTCACCTCCTTTTAGATTCCCTGCCTTTTTCTCTTTCATTTATTTATTTATTCAACACCTACTATGTGCCAGGGCAATGCACGAATGAGAAGCAGCGACGGTTACCATGGTGCCTCCCATCTAACATGAAATAGGCTTTAGACTAGTGAACACGAAACAGACAAATTAGTTACAAGGACCATGAGATAAGGGACTCTTTTAAAAAATTTAATGGCCAGGCCTTTTTGATAAGGCCGTATGTCAGCTGAGACCTGAAAGACAGAAGGTACCAGCAGGTGAAAAACCGCAAGACTGAAAAAACAGAAGTTTCAACCAGCCAGACAGAGCTAGAAAGAACTGGCTGGTCAAAGGAAATAAAAGACCGATTTCAGGCCGATCCTTATTATTAATGTGCCCTGAGCTAATTTTCCTATCTATTCCCAGCTAGTCATCTAAAGAAAAAGATAGTACTATTACTAGGTAACTGTTTTCGCTCTGCTTTTTCTCCAGAGCACTTACCACCTTTAACATACTATACAGTCCTCCCCCTCCTCAAATGTAAGCTCCTTGAGGACACCCCCACATGCCTAGATCAGTTGTTGGCATACACTAAGTGCTCAATAAATATTTACTAAATGACTAGATGAATTTCTTTCTTTCTTTTTTTAAGATTTTATTTATTTATTTGACAGAGAGACAGACAGTGAGAGAGGGAACACAAGCAGGGGGAGTGGTAGAGGGAGAAGCAGGCTTCCCGCGGAGCGGGGAGCCCGATGCGGGACTCGATCCCAGGACCCTGGGATCATGACCTGAGCCGAAGGCAGACGCGTAACGACTGAGCCACCCAGGCGCCCGGGAAATGACCTCTAACCAAGCTGACTGCCCCAGTCTCCTGACTGGTCACCTTTGATCAAGTATCCACTCTTTTGCTAAAGGGACCATTCTGAAGCAATATTTGATCACATCAACAACTCCACGCTTAAAATCCTTCATCACCTTCTAGTCCAGATAGACAAACTCTTTAACCTGGCTCTACAACTTTACCTGTTACCTTCATGTCCCTCCTCTGCCGCACGCAGAATCTACACTCCAGCCACCTACATTTCTTTCAGTTACTCAGCCCTGGGCAAGCCTTCACATTCTCTCACCTCCAGGCCTTCATACATATTATCCTTACTGCTTACAACATTCTTCTCCTTCCTTTTTTTTTTTAATTTTTAAAAAATCTTATTTATTTATTTGAGGGGTAGGGGCAGAGGGAGAGAGAGAATCTCAAGCAGACTCCGCACTGAGCATGGAGCCTGACTTGGGGCTCAATCCCACGACCCTGAGATCATGACCTGAGCTGAAACCAAGAGTTGGACACTCAACCAACTGAACCACCCAGGTGCCCACCTCCTCTTTTTCTTGATATTCTTTTCATTCTTGAGATCTCGCTTTCTATGGGAAGTCTTCCAGCATACTGCTTCAGCATCACTTCTCTGTGCTCCCCTATGACTCATTATTCCCCCCATCATAGGACTTACCATATTTTATACTGTAACTTGTCTAATTTGTCGGTCTTCCTCACTACATTGTAACTGCTCTGTCTCGTTCCCATTTTGTCCTGAGCACCAGTGTAGGAGCATCACAATTATGCGCTGAATGAATATTTACATTTTTTTCAAGCCTTCCCCATGACTCCTCCCCCTCTCATTCATTTTTGCTGTGTCCTTACTTAGGAACACTATCTAGCACACAGTAGATACTGAGTGTGGCAGACACTGTGAGTTGACTGTCCAAAGCCACTCTTCTCTTCATCTTTACTATCACAGCTTTTCTACAGGGATACGAACGCCCAGCTAAGTACTCACTTTCCCAGCCTCCCTTATAGCCAGGTGTGCTAGGTGACACACTTCTGGCCAATGAGAAGTAACCAGAAGTCTTCTGGAGAGGGGTGAGGGAGCTATGTTTTGAAGAAAGAACTTAGGTCTGTGTTAACATCATGGACAAGGTATTGGCCTTGGGCTGCCTACCTCAAGACTTTTTATTATGTGAGAAAAGGAAACCCCTATTTAAATTACTTTTGGTTAGGTTTTTTATTTCATACACCAAAGCATTCCTAAATTATATACTTATGGCCTCTTCTCAGCCTTCAGTCTATTTGACTTCTTATAGTTTTGGACCCTTCAGTGTTTTGAAGGCTTTATTTAGATGTATGCAGGTGAGGCTTGATTCCTTATTTTATGAAATAGAACAGTCAAACAAACACAGGATTTTGCCACCCACAAGGAATAATGAGCATTTTGTTAAATAAAACAGAACAACGGTAATAACCTTTCATGATTCCACCAGACCTAACCTCATTCTCATTTTTTTACTCTTCCCCAGAAGCCATAGCTTTCATGAATTGTATGTGTATCTTTCCAGTTCTTTAAAAACATGTATATATATATATATAGTGCTTGCTTCAGCAGCACATATACTAAAAATAGTTACATGTATAAATTTATTTATGTGTAATGAAGTATTGCATGAGTTGATAAAATGATTTAATCTATAAATAAGGATGATTTCATCTCATTTTGGCTAATACTGATACGTCATTTTTTCCCTCTAATTGCATTAATTAGGATCACCAAAGCAACCTTAATTAGTAGGGATACAGCAGGCAGTCTGGCCTGAAAACCAGCTTTACTAGCAGTACTTCTCATGTTTCAGCATAAAGATGATGAATTGTATAAGTCTCATCAGGTTCGGGAAGTTTCTTTTTATTCCTATTTGCTAGGAGCTTTTTTCTCCCAGTCGTGAGTGGGTATTGAATTTCACTAAGCCCATTCGGTAAATACTTCATTTCAGTTATTGCACATTGTATGTTTATTTGACAATAATGGCTGTTGACAATATTTTATAAAGTTATTTCCTTATACATGTAATGCTTTGGATCATGCTTTTCAAAGTTTTTAACATTTGATGAGCATTTGTTAAAGCATTTTAAATTTTAGATTGTCATCATTTGGTTGATGTGGTCGGTCTCCAGGACTCATTCTGGAGGAAGCCGGCTGCCGTGTCATGAGAGGACTCACGAAACCCTCTGTAGAGGCCCATGTGAACAGGCCACTTGTCAACCACGTGCGTGAGTGTTGTGTTGTGGGCTAAACTGTGCCCCCCCACACACAAATTCATATGCTGAAGTCTTAACCCCCAGTACCTCAGGATGTGACCTCATTTGGAGGTAGGGTCTTTACAGAGGCAGTGAAGTTAAAATGAAATCATTAGGGTGATCCTTAATCCAATATGACTGATGTTCTTATAAAAAGGGGAAATTTGGATACAGAGATAGGCACAGAGGGAAGACCATGTGGAAGAGACAGGGGGAGAAAATGGCGTCCATAAGCCAAGGAGAGAGACCTAGAATAGATCCTCAGAAGGAACCCACCCCGCTGACACCTTGATATTAGACTTCTAGCCTCCAGAATTGTAAATCTGTAAGTTTCCCTTGTTGAAGCCACACACAGTCTGTGGCTTACTCTTTGTTACAGCACCCTAGTCTCGGCTAAATTTCCCCCACCCAATCCATATGTTGACATCGTAAATATCTGAGTGTGACTGTATTTAGAGATAGACTTTAAAGAATTAATTAAGGCTCAATGAGGTCTTTAGGGTGGGTCCTAATACGATATTACTAGTGTCCTTATAAGAAGAGATTAGGATGCAGATGTGCACAGAGGCAAGATCCTGTGAGGACACCGGGAGAACAGAGCCATCTACAAGCCATGGAGCGAGGCCGCAGAAGAAACCACCCCTGCTGAAAGCTTAATCTCTGACGACGCACCTGCCAGAACTGTGAGGAAAGCAATCTCTGTTTAGGCCACCCAGTCTGTGGTATTTTGTTACAGCAGCCCTAGCCCACTGACCCAGTGAGCCACCTTCGAAGGGGGATGCTGCTGTCCCGGGCCAGCTTTCTGCTGACCGCCCCCTCCGGAGACACCTGCAGCCAGAGCTATCCAGCTGAGTTACTCCTAAATCCCTGACCCCCGGAAACGGTGAATTCGTAAATTTTTGTTCTTGTTTTAAATCATAAGCATTGGGGTAATTTGTTTATGTGTAATAGATAACAAATACTGTAGATTCAGAAGAAATAATTTAAGTTAATAATAATTCTATTTCACTGGTAAGCTTAGGAGAATAGCACATACCATTTGGAACTCAATTTGATATTAGGAGCACCATCTGATTCTGAGGTCCGTTGTTTTAAGGAAATAATAAATTCTACTCTGCACTCAACTTTAAATTCTAAAACATTTTCAGACATGGCCTTCAGTTTCGGCTCCAATTTGTTATGCATAAAAAGCAGAGCACCTATATTTTTTGATGTATCAATGTAGCTGGACAAACCAGAAAACACGGAAACAATATATGTGGGGATAAGCAGACCTCCTTTCTGGCAGTGTTTCTCCAGAATGGCATTCCCCATGAGCCAAACAAGCGCAGGATCTACACTCAACGTCTTTCTAAAGAAAGGGAAAAGAAAGATCAGAGCTTCAAACCTTGCAGTGTCGCACACCGTACCTTTTGATGGCCACCAGCTCCCCAGATTCGTTACTCTTGCCCATCAGCACACTCCCATAAGTGCCGTCCCCCAACTGTTTCATGGTTGTGTATCGGTTCATCTTGGAAAAATAGTGCCACAGAAGTTGCTGGTTGAAATGACTTCTTTTTTGAATATAAACTTAAATGCTTCTTTATTTTTGTTTTTTTCCCCTCAGACTGTTGTTGCTACACCGGTGACAGGTTTGTCATCATTAGACGCAGGCTCTTCCCCAGGATTAGGTAGGTTCATGAGATATAGCGATAAGGAATCTGGCAAGGAAACAGTGCTTCCATTCCTATGAACACCCTATAAACAAACAAACAACAAGAATAAAAAATTCTCATTGAAGAATCTCTTCAAAAAATTTACTGGTAACCTAAGCACGGGGAAGAATTATAAATACTGGTGGGCTAAACATTTGTCAGTAAGTCCTTTGTGCTATGTGGAATGGGGTTCACATATAACAGACTGATAATATTCATTTATGACTGCTTCGTTTACATGGTGCTGCGCTATTTATCCCATTATATTCAGTAAATACTGGCTTAATGATTTGTAGGATTCCTTTTATACTGAATATAATCTGCATTATTCCAAATCAGACATTGGAAAATCAGACAACTATACTATATCCATTCTTTGAATCACTTTTTGCATTGCATTTAATTTGGCCCATGATCCCTTATGTGAAACTCCTGGGCCAGATGTGTTTGGAATCCAGGAATCTGTACATTTTAGAAAAGTAATATGGTGGATATAGCATACATGATGTAACACCTCCCAAGCAGCATCTTTTTTTATTTTAAAGATTTTTTAAAAATTTTATTATGTTATGTTAAT